GGAGCGCACAACCCGCCACCAAGTTTGTAGAGAACGAGGGGAGGTAGAGACCTGACAGTGTGCCGGACGGGACCGCAGGACAAGGAAGGACAGTGGAGGAGGTCGCAATGACCGGACCCCCAGAGGGGTCAGCAAGGGAGACAGCAACTGGCCGAGCGAGTGGCTCAAGGACAGTGCGGTCACGAAAGAAAGAGCGAGAAGCACCTGAGTCCAGGGTGAAGGTGTGCAGTGCTGCAGTCGACTCAGTACCAGAGGGCACGGACGCACTAGCACCTAGGGCAGCAGCCTCACCATCACCTGGGGTAGCAGACACGCGAGCACCTGGAGCAGCAGACGCACTAGCACCTAGAGTAGTAGGCTCACCAGCACCTGGAGTAGCAGACACGCGAGTACCGGGAGTGGTAGCCTCACCTGCACCGAGGGCAACAGACGTACTGGCACCGAGAGCGGCTGCCTCACTCACAGAGCGACTACCACTACGGCCACCCCGACTGCTCAAACCTGCGTACCACTCACGAGCCTGCTGGAGCAGAAGAGGGCACGGCTGCTGCACCTGTCCACTACCTGAGGCTCCCGAACGACGGACGCCAGAGCGACTACCACTACGGCCACCCCGACTGCTCAAACCGGCGTACCACTCACGAGCCTGCTGGACCAGAAGAGGGCACGGCTGCTGCACCTGTCCACTACCAGGGGCTCCCGAACGACGCACGCCAGAGCGACTACCACGCCGGCCACCCCGACTGCCCAAACCGGCGTACCACTCACGAGCCTGCTGGAGCAGAAGAGGGCACGTCTGCTGCACCGGTCTACTACCAGAGGCTCCCGAACGACGCACTCCAGAGCGACTACCACTACGGCCACCCCGACTGCCCAAGCCGGCGTACCACTCACGAGCCTGCTGGAGCTGCAGCAGTAGCGGCAGCAACAGCAGGAGCAGTAAAGGCAGTAGCAGCAGCAGTAACGGTAGCAGTGCTAGCACGGCAAAGCTCACCAGTGGTTGGTGCGGCGGGCGCAAGACAGTGGCGACAGCGTGGCCGCTGCAACAGCGGGGCGGGGCCAGGTCGTAGCAGGGAGCTCCGCGGCAGCTGCTGCAGGGTCTGTGGCGGCCGCTGCTGTAGGCTCGGCGGCGGCAGCTGCTGCAGGTCGAGCGGCGGCTGCTGCTGCAAGCTCGGCGGCGGCAGCTGCTGCAGGTCGAGCGGCGGCTGCTGCTGCAGGCTCGGCGGCGGCAGCTGCTGCAGGTCCGGCGGCGGCTGCTGCTGCAGGCTCGGCGGCGGCAGCTGCTGCAGGCTCGGCGGCGGCAGCTGCTGCAGGCTCGGCGGCGGCAGCTGCTGCAGGTCGAGCGGCGGCTGCTGCTGCAGGCTCGGCGGCGGCAGCTGCTGCAGGTCGAGCGGCGGCTGCTGCTGCAGGCTCGGCGGCGGCAGCTGCTGCAGGTCGGCGGCGGCTGCTGCTGCAGGTTCGGTGGCGGCAGCTGCTGCAGACGAAGTCGAAGCCGCGAAGGGGCGGCTGAGGGATCGCGCGCGGGCGGCTAGCGGGTCACGCGCGCGAAGAATCGGCCGCGCGCGGGCGGCTAGCGAGGCGCGCGCGCGAAAAATCGGCCGCGCACGGGCGGCTAGCGAGTCGCGCGCGTTAAAAACGAGCCGCGCGCGGGTGGCTAGCGGGCTGCGTGCGCATGGTAGGTAGAGGCGCACGAGGGCGCTAAGGCGCACGAGGGCGCGCGGTAGGTAGAGGCGCACGAGGGCGCTAAGGCGCACGAGGGCGCGCGGTAGGTAGGGGCGCACGAGGGCGCACGAGGGCGCACGAGGGCGCACGATAGGTAGGTAGGTAGGTAGGTAGCGGTGGGCCCTAGGAGCGGTCCTAGCAAAGGACCTGCTCTGATACCATGTCAGAATGAACAGGCAGGAATGATGAACTAGCAAGGATTGTGAGTACAAATATGAAACCCTAATGTTGTGACCCCCCTATAGGCTAACCCACTACAGCCTACACAAATACAACATGTATAATGTTTGACAGCGTTGTGTTGGGATCATGCAGAGTGAAAAAATTGTCCCCGTTAAACACAGCGCGCGTTACTACCGTAAACCCCCGGATATAAGACCCCCCCCAGTTGTAGACCCCCGGGTCTATAATACGGGGGGGGGGTATGCTATTCGAGTCTATCATTATACCCCCCTAAACGGGACCTAACATTATAAGACCCGCCCACCCCTTAGAAAACTACTATTTGTGAGCAAGAGGAATGGAAATTTGTCATTTTGCATGTTCATCAAGAGACATCAGAACCATCTACGCACATGCACAGACACCTAATCCTCATCCTGACCAGCAACCCACGTCTCCACCTCCTCCCCATCATATCGCCCTTCTGCCCACCACTCTTCGCCATCATCCTCCCACCCCCCTCCAGCCCCCACCTCCTCCGCGACCACACCGCCATCCTCCTCACCCTCCTCCTCCTCATCCTCCTCGTCATCCTCCTCATCTTCCTCTTCGTCGTCCTCCTCGAACTCTCCTCCTCCTCCGAGTCCTCCCCATCCTCCACTGAGTCCTCCTCCTCCTCCTCTCCAGCTTCCACCACTAGCTCTGCATCACTGTCCTTGCTCGCAGAGGCAGCAGGGTCGGGGTAGAAAGGGTTGGGGACGAGCTCCTCGAGCTCCTCCTCGCACACATCCTCCAGCACCTCCACCTCCGCCTTATCCCGGAGGTGAGCGAGGATCAGATGATCCTCGCTCCCATCGACGGCGGTGGAGATGCCGCAGGTGATGAAAGCTTTTTTCACCAGCTCTTGGGACGACCGCCACTTCTCTTGGGGATGGCGATTCTTCATGTAGGTAGTCGCCCAACTCTGCAGGAGGCTCACGGAAACCGGAAGTCCTCTCCCACGGTGCGAAAGGAACCGGCGGTTGACCGCAACCTCCATCTGCAGCCACTTGGGCTTTCGTCCCGCACCACCGAGGCGTTGGCGACAACCTGCCGCTACTTCGAGGCGCTCCCTGAACTTGCGCCACTCACGAATCTGCTTCGGCTGGACATTGGCGAGCCTCGCCAAAGCCCGGACGCCCAAATCAGGCTGCCCGTCTAGCATCTTCAGCCAGTACATCTTCTCCTTGACGGTGTAAGCTTTGCGCGCTTTCTTCGTCATTCTGCGCCGCGGCGATGGTGTCTCTGCGTCATGCACCCGCTTCTTCTGACCCCGCGGTCGCTTTGATTCTGGAAAGATAGGAACCTTCACTTGCGGAAGCGGACGGCGTGTGCTCCCGCTATGCTCCTTATCTGCCGACTCGCTGGTAAAGGGACTAGGCGTTGGCAGGACGGGCCGTGGCGACGGCCTAGGAACTGTAGGTTCACAGACTTTCTGGCGGCGCCGGCGTCGAGGGGCCGACGTCCCAGCATCCGGGGACGTAACCATGGCGGCTAGAGGGGGTATCACACGCTACTAGCTTCGAGGAGGCCTCAAAATGCAACGGATAGCCATCTTTGAACTCCAGTGAGTCGAGCAAGGAAAGGTGAGAAGAAACTGGAGGGAAAAATGAACAACAACCTACACAAACAAGGACGTGCCAGCAACTGGGTGTAGAGGACGCCCTAACCAGGACCGTGCAGCTCGCACGAAGCGTGCATGGGGTGTGAAGGCCGAGGCGACACTATGCGCTGGGCCCATCACACGGTGTACGGTACTTCTCGCTGATGTGGCCACCAATCAGGTTTTGTGGCCAATGGGAGTGGGCTCCCAGCTAGAAATCTTATTGACGTGGGTTGGATCTGTCAAACTTATATGACATTATATATTTAGGCTCTAGTGGGGTAGACACTATAGGGTATAGGTTTTCTACTTTGTACCCACTTCTCTTCTAGTCGACATTCCCTTCTCTTCTCACATGGTATAGAGCAGGTTCCCTAGTGGGACCGTCTCTTCCTAGGGCCCACCACAAGAACTTTTTTTTAAGCTGCCCGAAGCGCCTTTGCGCCCTGCCCGAAAATTTACGGCCCCTAAGTGTCTAACATTATATATGTTGTAGCTTTGTAGGCTACAGTGGGTTTAGCCTTAGGGGGTACACAATTCTAGGGTTGCATATTTGTACTCCCATTCTTGCTAGTCACATCATTCCTCGTTCTCATTTTTACATGGTATCAGAGCAGGTTCCCTAGTGGGAACTTTTCCTAGGGCCCACCCAAATCGATCTTTTTTTTTTCTGCCCCCTGCCCGAGGCGCGCTCGGTGTGCTGCCCTTACGCGGCCCGTCGCGCCCTCCTCACGCTGCCTTACGCGACCCCTTCGCCGCCCTTAGCGGCCCCGTCGCCCCACCTTTGCGGCCCCGTCGCCGCCCTTACCGGCCCCGTCGCCGCCTTACGCGACCCCGTCGCCGCCCCTCCACGGCCCCGTCGCCCTTCGCGGCCCTGTCGCCGCCCCTTGCGGCCCTGTCGCCACCCTTCCGCGGCCCCGTCGCCGCCCCTTGCGGCCCCGTCGCCGCCCCTTGCGGCCCCGTCGCCGCCCCTTCGCGGCCCCGTCGCCGCACTTCCGCGGCTCTGCCGCCCTTAGCGGCCACGACGCCGCCCTACTGCGGCCCCGACGCCGCCCTACCGCGGCCTCGCCGCCGCCCCTCTGCGGCCCCGAAGCCACCCTTCACGGCCCCGAGACCGCCGAGCCGCCGAGCTGCCAACCGCCGAGCCGCTGTTGCCGCCGTGCCGCCGAGCCGCTGTTGCTGCCGTTGCCACCGCGCCGCCGAGCCGCCGAGCCGCCGAGCATCCGAGCCGTTGAGGCGCCGAGCCGCCGAGCGGCCGAGCCACCGCGCCGCCGAGCCGCCGAGCCGCTGTTGCCGCCGAGCCGCTGTTGCTGCCGTTGCCTCAGCCGCCGCAGCCGAGTTGCCGCCGTCACTGCAGTCGCGGCCCTGTCCCTCCCGACGAGCCTCGGCCCCTTCTCGCCTGCCCGGTAAGAGCAGCGCCTCTGCCACTGCACTGCCCTTAGCCTGCTGCTCTCACTGCTCGTCTACTGCTGTCATGGCCACCCCCAGTGTTCTCACCTTTGACGCTGAGGGTCGGGCTGTTGACTTTGAGGTCTGGGTAGATGATCTGCAGCTTTTCCTACAGTGCGATAGGGCAGACGGTCTCTCCCTCTTTGACCTCACTTCTGGTGCCTCTCCTCCCCCTGCTGCTGATGCTGACGCCACTGTTCGCTCACAGTGGGCCACGCGCGATGCTGCTGCCCGCCTTGCTGTGCGCCGCCACTTGCCGACCACTGAGCGTGCGCACTTTAGTCAGTACAAGAGTGCTAAGACCTTGTACGATGCTGTAGTTGCACGCTACTCTTCCCCTGCCACTGCTGCGCTTAGCCGCCTCATCCTGCCGTACCTCTTCCCTGACCTCGCCGCTTTTCCCACTGTCGCTGACCTCATTACGCACCTTCGCACTAGTGACATTCGCTACCGCGCTGCGCTTCCTGCTGAGTTCTGCGCCAAGAACCCCCCCCCCATGTACATCACCCTCTACTACATAGTCACCCGGCTCCCTGACACCCTTCGCTCGGTCAGGGACCACTTTCTCTCTGTTTGCCCCACCACTCTCACCGTTGACCTCCTCGAGGAGCGTCTCCTAGCAGCAGAGCAGAGCATAGTTGCTGTAGGAGCCTCTCGAGGTGACCCTCGTACCCCTGTCTTTGAGGGGTGCTCCCCCTCCCCCCTCTTGCCCTCTGTTGCCTCTGCTGCTGCGGCCGACCTCGTGGGTGTTGAGTCGGTCGGTGCGGCGTCTACCCCTAGCGGGAGACGCCGCTCAGGCAAGGGCAAGGGGGGCAAGGGCGTTGGGGGAGCTGGCGGAGGCGGTGGAGGTGGCGGTGGAGGAGGCGGAGGGAGTGGGGGTGGCGGTGGGAGTGGTGGTGGGAGTGGGGGCACTAGTGGAGGCAGTGGCGGCGGAGGAGGAGGCGGTGGTGGAGGTAGCGGCGGCGGAGGTGGAGCGGGTCGGGGCGGCTCTACGCAGAGGGTCGGCTCCGGTGGTGGTCAGTGCCAGCCGCAGCAGCAGCAGCGTCCTCGTGAGACCCCTTCCCCCCAGCAGCTTCGTGAGTGGTACACTGCTCGTCAGCGGGGCGGGGGTGCTGGCCCCTGTACCTACGTTCTCCGTACCGGCGACCGCGCGGGTGAGCAGTGTGGTGGAGCGCACTCCACCCAGCGCTGTTTCGGCCGTCTGACGGACGCTTGGCGTCACCAGTTCCCCGACGCTACTGAGATCCCTCGCTGGGGCGAGCTGTCTAGGGCGGGTGTTGCGATCTTTGATCTTGATTATGATGCTATTCTTGCTGCCATGTATGCTGTGACTATTAGTGATGAGGGTGACTGTTACCGGTGTTTTCCGCCCGACCCGGGCATTGAGGCTGCTGCTCTAGGTGCTGGTGAGACTGCTGCTCTAGGTGCCAGTGCGTCTGCCGCCCCAGGTGCCGGTGAGTCTGCGCTCTCAGGTACTGCGTCGTCTCCGGACACCCACACCTTCACCCTTGACTCGGGTGCTTCCCGCTCCTTCTTTCGAGACTGCACCACGCTCACGCCGCTTAGTCGGCCAGTGGCGGTCTCCCTGGCAGACCCCTCTGGGGGCCCTGTCCTTGCCCGCTTCTCCACTGTCCTACCGTGTCCGGCGGCCCCTTCTGGCACCCTGTCAGGTCTTTACCTCCCCTCGTTCTCTACGAACTTGGTGAGTGGTGCTGACCTCCAGGATGCAGGGGTTCACCAGTTCACTCCTGCGAGTCAGCGAGTGACCCACTGTACCTGTGCTCGGTCGGGCCGTCACTTGGCCACGTTTACCCGTCAGCCGGGGTCGAGCCTGTACACACTGACTACTGAGTCTCCTCCAGTTGCTGAGTCTGCTCAGGTAGCAGCGTCGGGTCAGGTGTTTGCTGCGGCGTCCAGGTCTGGCCCTGAGTCTGCCCCCTGCTCGTGTCGTCTCCTGTCCCACCAGACTCTTCTCTGGCACCACCGCCTTGGTCACCCCTCCCTGCCTCGTCTTCGAGGCATGGCTTCCCGTCTTCTTGTCTCTGGCCTCCCCCGGTCCCTCCCTCCCCTTCCTCCGGGGCCTGCCCCCACCTGCGTTCCCTGCGTCGAGGGGCGGCAGCGCGCTGCTCCTCACTCCTCCGAGTTTCCTCCGACAGAGGCTCCGCTGCAGACGCTTCACATGGACGTGTGGGGCCCAGCCCGCGTCCGTGGGCAGGGTCACGAGCGTTACTTCCTGTTGGTGGTTGACGACTACTCGCGTTACACCACAGTCTTCCCCTTGCGCAGCAAGGGTGACGTCACTGAGGTGTTGATCGCCTGGATCCGCGCGGCTCGTCTCCAGCTCAGGGAGAGTTTCGGCTCGGACTTTCCTGTTCTGCGTCTGCACTCCGACAGAGGCGGAGAGTTCTCCTCTGACCTTCTGCGGGCCTTCTGTCGTGCACGAGGCATCCGCCAGACCTTCACGCTTCCGGACTCTCCACAGCAAAATGGGATTGCTGAGCGCCGCATTGGCATGATCATGGACGTCGCTCGTACGTCCATGGTCCATGCGGCTGCCCCCCATTTTCTGTGGCCGTTTGCGGTTCGATATGCGGCGCATTAGATCAACCTTCACCCCCGGGTCTCCAGGCCGGAGACCTCCCCTGCTTTACTGTGGACGGGGAAGGTTGGCGATGCGTCTGCGTTCCGTGTCTGGGGATCTCGGGCGTTTGTCCGCGACTTGTCTGCGGACAAGCTGTCCTCTCGTGCTGTTCCCTGCGTCTTCCTTGGCTTCCCTCCTGACGCGCCAGGCTGGCAGTTCTACCACCCCACCTCGCGCCGTGTTCTGTCCTCCCAGGACGTCACCTTTGACGAGTCGGTTCCCTACTACCGTCTCTTCCCCTACCGCACTGCGTCCCTCCCTCCCCCGCCGCTCTTCCTTACGCCAGGTCCCCCTCTGGTAGACCCCCTCCCCCCTCAGGGTCCTGCCCCCTCAGGTGTGTCCCAGGTAGATGCAGTCGAGCCTGTCGAGGTAGCTGTTGACTCTGGTGCTGCTGGGGGTGCTGAGCCTGGGGGTGCTGCGCCTGGGGGTGCTGCGTCTGGGGGTGCTGGGTCTGGGGGTGCTGAGCCTGGAGGTGCTGCGTCTGGGGGTGCTGAGCCTGGGGGTGCTGAGCCTGGGAGTGCTGCGTCTGGGGGTGCTGAGCCTGGGGGTGCTGCGTCTCGGAGTGCGGAGCCTGAGGGTGCTGGGCCTGCTCGTGTGGCGTCTGGTGGTGCTGGGCCTGGAGGTTCTTCGGGTGCTTCGTCCCGGCTGGAGTTACTCTCTCCACAGGAGCTGCGTGAGTGGTTTGCCCGGCGCTGGAGGCGTGCTGCTGGAGCTGGCGGTGCTACGGACGCTGGAGGTTCTGCTGCTGCTGAGGGTGCTGGTGCAGCGGGTCCCGGAGGTGCTCGTACAGGGTGTACTGGAGCTGCTGGGCCTACGGGTGCTCCTGGTGCTGGAGCTGGTGGTGCTACTGGTGCTCCTGACGTAGGTGCTGCTGGTGCTCCTGGAGCTGGAGCTGCTGCGTCTTCTGGTGGTCCGACTGGAGCTGGAGCTACTGGGGGTGTTGGCACTGGAGGTGCTACTGGCGCTGGTGACTCTGAGGGTGCTGGAGTTGGCGCTGCTGGAGCTGGGGGTTCTACTGGTGCTGGTGCTGCCGTTGGGGGTGCTGGTGCTGTTCCTTCTGGTACTGGTGGCGCTGCGCGGCCACGGCCGTACTTCGTTCCGCTCCTTGAGCAGGTTCTTGGTCTTCCGTCCTCTCTTGGTCCTGGTCCTAGCTTAGAGTGTCCGCCTCCTGTCCAGTCTGAGTCACAGTTACAGCCAGCCTCCCCGCTTCCTTCTCCTTCTCCCTACACTGGTCCTACTGGAGGTCTTGCTGAGCGTCGTGAGCCTGCGTCTCGCCCTGCGTCGCCTGTCCGTGCTGCTCGCACTAGTGGTCGTGGTTCGCGTCAGCGTCCTCCCCCTGTCCCCGGCACGCACCGGATGTCTCTGCGTCCTTCCACTGCTCCGATGCATGCCCCTTTGCCTTCTCCTCCCGCGTCCTCTCTTCCTGCACTTCCTGACCCGGAGTCGGACTCCCTTCGTGCTGCGCGTCCTACTGTCACGCGTCTCCTTGCTACTGTCGTCACTGACCCTTCCTTTGAGTCTACTGCTGCGTCTGCCCTAGTTGCTGAGCTTGTCGACTTCGCTGCTCGCTGTCGCCTAGACTACGCTGCCAGTCTCGTCGCTGAGTCTGAGTCTGTCTGTCCTCCGTCCGTTGGGGGTGAGTGTGCTCTTGGCACGGACGTCCTTGAGGACAGGCAAGAGGAGTTCCAGTGCTTGGCTGCTGCTTCACCTCATCTCGTGTCCATGCTGCTTGCCCCTGAGGGAGACCCGGATGCACTTGACATCCCGACTCCGCGCTCTTACGCGGAGGCGATAGAGGGTCCCTACTCCTCTCAGTGGCAGGCAGCCATGGACGCAGAGATGGCTTCCTGGAAGTCCACAGGCACCTACGTTGACGAGGTTCCCCCGCCTGGGGCGAACATCGTCAGTGGCATGTGGATTTTCAGGGTGAAGCGGCCGCCGGGTTCTCCGCCTGTCTTCAAGGCGCGTTACGTGGCTCGTGGCTTCAGTCAGCGACAGGGAGTTGACTACTTTCAGACCTTCTCTCCCACCCCGAAGATGACCACTCTTCGGGTACTACTGCACATAGCCGCTCACCGAGACTACGAGCTGCACTCTCTTGACTTCAGCACTGCTTTCTTGCAGGGCAACCTGCACGAGGAGATCTGGCTACGCCGCCCACCTGGCTTCACTGGGACTTTTCCTCCTGGCACCCAGTGGAGCCTCCGCCGGCCAGTCTACGGTCTCCGCCAGGCACCTCGTGAGTGGCACGACACACTGAGGACTACACTTGCGGCTCTCGGGTTTGCTCCTTCTACTGCCGACCCGTCGCTGTTTCTGCGCACCGACACTTCTTTGCCGCCGTTCTACATCCTCGTGTACGTCGACGACTTGGTCTTTGCTACAGCTGACACTGCTGGACTCGCCTACGTGAAGTCCGAGCTGCAGAAGAGACACACGTGCACAGACCTGGGTGAACTGCGCAGCTACCTTGGCTTGCAGATCACCCGGGACAGAGCACAGCGCACCATTACTCTGACTCAGTCACACATGGTGCAGCAGGTCCTTCAGCGCTTCGGCTTCACGTACTCCTCGCCTCAGGCCACTCCTCTGTCTACACGCCACTCGCTCTCAGCTCTGCCTTCGGATGAGTCCGTAGAGTCGAGTGGCCCGTACCCAGAGCTTGTTGGCTGCCTCATGTACCTGATGACTTGCACTCGACCTGACCTTGCATACCCTCTTAGCATTCTGGCACGCTATGTTGCTCCTGGGAGACACAGACCAGAGCACATGGCTGCAGCGAAGAGGGTGTTGCGCTACTTGTGCAGTACATCGGGCATGGGGCTTGTGCTTGGAGGGCAGAGTCCAGTGGTCCTCACTGGGCACGCAGACGCTTCTTGGGCTGACGACCAGGCTACGCAGCGGTCGTCACAGGGTTACACCTTCAGCCTTGGTTCCGGCTCTGTTTCGTGGCGGTCTACCCGCTCGTCTTCTGTTTTCGGCTTCAGTTGTGAGGCTGAGATCTACGCAGGGGCCATGGCTGCACAGGAGCTACGCTGGCTCACCTACCTGCTGACTGACCTCGGAGAGCCGCCTCGTTCTCCTCCAGTGCTGTACGTAGACAACAAGGCCATGCTGGCCTTGTGTCGGGAGCACAGACTGGAGCACAGAACAAAGCACATCGCTCTTCGCTACTTCCTTGCTCGTGAGCTGCAGCAGTGTGGTCAGCTGCGCCTTGCTTACGTGGCCTCTCAGGCCAACACTGCTGATATCTTGACTAAGACACTCGCGCCTTGTTATCATCAGCGCTTTTGTACTCTGTTAGGTCTTGTGCCTACCTTGTCTCACCTGCTCACTTCTTGACCTTGCTTGTACTGTTACATATATATATACCTGCTCTTGCTTGTTTAGCGTTATATATATGTAATCTTGCATGTGAACTGGCCTTGTGGCCTTGAACTTGTGCTCAGAATGTGTGGTGACATTGAGATCCACCCTGAGCTTGCTTTGCTTTGCTTGACTGGTCTTGTGACCCCTTGTTCTCCCCCACTTTGCCTATGGGGGTGTGTCAAACATTATATATGTTGTAGCTTTGTAGGCTACAGTGGGTTTAGCCTTAGGGGGTACACAATTCTAGGGTTGCATATTTGTACTCCCATTCTTGCTAGTCACATCATTCCTCGTTCTCATTTTCACGTTCTTGCCTGTCAAACTTATATGACATTATATATTTAGGCTCTAGTGGGGCAGACACTATAGGGTATAGGTTTTCTTCTTTGTACCCACTTCTCTTCTAGTCGACATTCCCTTCTCTTCTCACATGGTATAGAGCAGGTTCCCTAGTGGGACTGTCTCTTCCTAGGGCCCACCACAAGAACTTTTTTTAAGCTGCCCGAAGCGCCTTTGCGCCCTGCCCGAAAATTTACGGCCCCTAAGCCGCCCCCTTCGCGGCCCCTTAAGCGGCCCCTCGCGGCCCTCCCTCTCACAGCCCCTTCGCGGCCCCTTAAGCGACCCCGTCGCGGCCCCCTTCGCGGCCCGTCGCGGTCCCTTCCCAGCCCGTCGCGGCCCCTTCGCGGCCCGTCGCGGCCCCGTCGCGGCCCTTTGCGGCCCCTTCCCAGCCCGTCGCGGCCCTTCGCGGCCCTACGCGGCCCCCTCCACGGCCCTTCGCGGCCCCTTTGCGCCCCCCCCTCCGCGCGGCGTCGCCCCTGCAGCCGCCCCTGGAGCAGCCGCCCCTGCAGCAGCCGCCCCTGGAGCAGCCGCCCCTGCAGCAACCGCCGCTGGAGCAGCCGCCCCTGGCCCCTGGAGCAGTCGCCCCTGGAGCAGCCGCCCCTGCAGCAGCCGCCCCTGGCCCCTGGAACAGCCGCCCCTGCAACAGCCGCCCCTCCCCCAGCCGCCTCTGGCTCCTGGAGCAGCCGCCCCTGGAGCAGCCGCCCCTGGAGCAGCCGCCCCTGCAGCAGCCGCCCCTGGAGCAGCCGCCCCTGCAGCAGCCGCCCCTGGAGCAGCCGCCCCTGGAGCAGCCACCCGTGCAGCAGCCGCCCCTGGCCCCTGGAGCAGCCGCCCCTGCAGCAGCCGCCTCTGCAGCTGCCACGGAGCCCTAGCCCTGCAGTGGTAGTGGCAGAAGAGACACACGTGCACAGACCTGGGTGAACTGCGCAACTACCTTGGCTTGCAGATCACTCGGGACAGAGCACGGCGCACCATTACTCTGACTCAGTCACACATGGTGCAGCAGGTCCTTCAGCGCTTCAACTTCACGTACTCCTCGCCTCAGGCCACTCCTCTGTCTACTCGCCACTCGCTCTCAGCTCTGCCTTCGGATGAGTCCGTAGAGCCGAGTGGCCCGTACCCAGAGCTTGTTGGCTGCCTCATGTACCTGATGACCTGCACTCGACCTGACCTGGCCTACCCTCTTAGCATTTTGGCACGCTATGTTGCTCCTGGGAGACACCGACCAGAGCACATGGCTGTAGCGAAGAGGGTGTTGCGCTACCTGTGCAGTACGTCGGGCATGGGGCTAGTGCTTGGAGGGCAGAGTCCAGTGGTCCTCACTGGTCACGCAGACGCGTCTTGGGTTGACGACCTGGCTACGCAGCGGTCGTCACAGGGTTACACCTTCAGCCTTGGTTCCGGCTCTGTTTCGTGGCGGTCTACCCGCTCGTCGTCTGTTCTCAGCTCCAGTTGTGAGGCTGAGATCTACGCAGGAGCCATGGCTGCACAGGAGTTACGCTGGCTCACCTACCTGCTGACTGACCTGGGAGAGCCGCCTCGTTCTCCTCCAGTTCTGTACGTAGACAACAAGGCCATGCTGGCCTTGTGTCGGGAGCACAGACTGGAGCACAGAACGAAGCACATTGCTCTTCGCTACTTCCTTGCTCGTGAGCTGCAGCAGCGTGGTCAGCTGCGCCTTGCTTACGTGGCCACTCGGGCCAACACTGCTGATATCTTCACCAAGGCACTTCCGCCTTGTGATCATCAGCGCTTCTGTACGATGCTAGGTCTCGTGCCCACTTGGCCTCACTTGCTCACTTCTTGACCTTGCTTGTACTGTGATTTATATATACCTGCTCTTGCTTGTTTACCTTTATATATAATCCTGCATGTGAACTGGCCTTGTGGCCTTGACCTTGTGCTCAGAGTGTGTGGTGACGTTGTGATCCACCCTGAGCTTGCTTTGCTTGACTGGTCTTGTGACCCGATTTAGGTCTTCCCCACTTTGCCTATGGGGGTGTGTCAAATTATATATATGACATTATATATTTAGGCTCTATAGGGTATAGGTTTTCTACTTTGTACCCACTTCTCTTCTAGTCGACATTCCCTTCTCTTCTCACAGGACCCTCGTGGAGACAGTTTCGCGTATTTTTTTGGGGTGCTATAAACGAAACACTTCCCTTTCACTAGTTTGGGCTAAAAAATATGTGCCTGACAAAAGACATTTTGTAAAGATCCGGGTCTCATAATTTATGTGCCATAATTAGACCCCCCCCATTTTTTGGGGTGTGCATAGCATAATACCACCGGGTCTTATATCCGGGGGTTTACTGTACATTGATGTTCAATTCTCGACCCTGAGCAATCAGAGTTAACTACTTTTCAACACTAAGCAATTAGAGTAGCCTACCTGTGGAAAATGTGCACCCATAAGGACGCGTTGAAAGTAGACGATCGATTGTCAGTCGCGATCGATGTGCGGCTCTGTTACCCTATTTACTACGCTGTAACCTGTCAGAATATTATGCTGTAGCCTGTAGTGGGGTGCTCTATAGCGAGTACAACCCTTCTAGGGTTTGCTATTTGTATCCCCATTCTTGCTAGTGCAATTCCTCCTTTCTTCATTTCTTGCTTGCCTAGCTAGGTCAACCCTAGCTATGGCTTCTCACTGTCCTTACTATCTTGACATGGTAACAGAGCGGTTACGCTCCTGTCCTGTGGGCCCACCACTTCACTGCTTCCGCTGCTACTGCTACTCCCTGTCCGCCGCGCGCCTCGTGGTACGCGGCGTTGAAATTAGGGTTTTCAGCCCGCCGTGCGCCCCGAGGCGCGCGGCGGTTCTCTGCCCGCCGTGCGCCCCGAGGCGCGCGGCGGGTTTCTGCCCCGTCACACCGCGCGTTGCTCCCCGGAGGCGCTGCAACCGGCGACGGGGACCCGCGCGTCGCCCCCCGTCGCCCGTCGTGGCCTGCGCGCGGCCCGTACAGCCGGCGCGCGGCCCGTACGGGCTGCGCCAGGCCCGCGCGCGGCCCGTACGGGCTGCGCCAGGCCCGTGCACGGCCCGTACGGGCTGCGCCAGGCCCGCGCGCGGCTCGGGCCGCCTGCGCGCGGTTCGGGAGGCTGTGCCAGACCCGTGGGCGGCCCGTTCTTCGCTGCCCCTGTCCTCCCCACTGTCCCCCGTGCTTCTGAAGGCGCCCCACCCCTCCTTCTGCCCGTACTCCTGGATTAGGGTTTGGGGGTGGGGGGTATGGGGGTGCAGCTTCTGTGTGCCGTTCCCTGCTCCTCCTCCTCCTCCGTCTCCCTGTGCTGCAGCTGCCGCTGAGGGGGGTGGACCTGTTGGAGCCGTCGGAGTGGTACTAAGGGGGGGGTGAAGGGGGAGTAAAGCTAGCGGTGTAGCAGCGGGTGTGTGTCAGGGGGAGTGGGATAGTTTGGGGAGGTTGAAGGGGGTGGCCGCCGTGAAGCCAGCAGCTCCAGTCGCCCGTGAGACCGTTGCGCCAGTCGCCCGTGAGCCCGTTGCGCCAGTCGCCCGTGAGCCCGTTGCTCCAGTCGCCCGTGAGTCCGTTGCTCGTCTGCCGCTACTTTCAGCCGCGGAGCCAGTTACTCCAGTAGCCCGTGTGCCAGTTGCTCCAGTTGCGAGTGTGCCAGTTGCTCTAGTTGCCCGTGTGCCAGTTGCTCCAGTTGCGCCGTGTGCCAGCAGCTTCAGCTGCCGCCCACTACCTCCTCTCCTCTCATAGTCTCTTTCCTCCTCCTCACTTGCCCGTTGTGACTACCACTAGCTTTGCTCATAATTGTGATCTTTAAACTATTGCTTCTTGAACTTGTGCTCAGAATGTGTGGTGACATTGTGATCCACCCTGAGCTTGTACTGTTTTGCTTGCTCTGCTGATTACACCCCACTTTGGCTATGGGGGTGTGTCAGAATATTATGCTCTAGCCTGTAGTGGGGTGCTCTATAGCGAGTACAACCCTTCTAGGGTTTGCTATTTGTATCCCCATTCTTGCTAGTTCAATTCCTCCTTTCTTCATTTCTTGCTTGCCTAGCTAGGTCAACCCTAGCTATGGCTTCTCACTGTCCTTACTATCTTGACATGCGCAACCATGCTACAGTACGCTTTTAAGCCAAATTTCTGTACAGTGTGTGAATGCGACTGGTCACCGATAGCGGGAGATCTGTCAATTCTCAGCTGCGATCGTTACAAATGTCGCGGTCGCCAAGTTGCGCCAATCGATCTGCCCACTCGATTGTGGGGATCGATATATGCAGACGATCCGGCGATATTTGCACTTTCACCGCGTCCTAATACAGGGGGGAAATTTTCCCCGGAATCAGGGAAGCTTAAAATGAAACGTCAGCCCTGGGTACCGTAAATGTGCGAAGTCTTGAGGACAAGTTAGAAAATGGCACCGATGCCGTATGTTAAAACTCACTCACAAGTGTGATTTTTGATTTAAATAACATACAAGAAACAGATGCACAAACCATAGCAAGGGAGCACAACACAGGAAAAGTAGTTGGGAGGGAAAGAAAGTAACATGCTGTTGTGGGTCATGTACGAAACATGCTGTTTCTGGGGCACCTTTGGGGCAGCTGTCAGAGGTCCACTGGTGATCCCCGATTGATCCTAGGGAAGGGTTACAGGCATGGCGGCCTGGGGGGTTATGGGCGCACTCACCCGCTACACAAACAAGCCCTTTTATCCCAGTGGTTAGTGGTTGGGATTCTGACATATTATCACAGCGAAAGTCTCGGGTACAAATCCCGGTGTGTGCACCTCGGGCATGTGAGACAAAGACTAACATATTTATTACTCCATGATGCTTCCTCCTTACTCGTAATGAGAAAACGTAGGGATGCATGAAGAACACCATGCATGGACTTGTACTTTGCCACCAGGCAAGTTACATTAAATAGATGACTCTGGTTGTCTTCCCAGCAATTGCACTTGCTGCCGGCTATGCAAGCAGCAACGCAAAACCAGCAGCCATGGTGATGACAGTGGCAAGGTAGCCTGCCAAAGGGAAGAATCATGAATAGAAATGCTAATCAGAACTTCCGTTCTCATCGATGGCAAATAATGACCGATGGAGATTCAGGAAACAAGAACGATAGAAACAACAGAAGGAAGCACGAAATAATCATAAAAAGGCGCTATAACAAGGTCACCGTACCAGGCTTGATCGGAGAAGCGGCTTTGCTGGCAGGGTTTAGGCTTGAAAGACTAGTGGGACCAGTGTGAATGACTACGCCGCTTTTGGTACTGGTGACAGTACCATTACCCCACAGAGTCAGATCTCCGGCAGTCACCGAGTAAGGCCCGTTCCAAACAGGACGAACCACGTTCCCACTAAGGTCTGTGAAGGTATCATTTTCATACATGATCGTGCTGCCAATAACATAGCTACCGGAGCGCACAGCAAGAATCACACTGCCATTGGGATCCGTGACAGTGCCGTTACTGTAGCGAGTATATCCCCCGATGCTGACAGATTCATCGGCCTTTACGGTAGGGGTCACAGCCGCACCACTGGCGTCCACAATCGTTCCGTTGTCATACACCGTGTACCCGCCGAACGAAATGCTTTCGGATTTCGCCTGTGCATTGCTGATGAGCGAGCTTGTCACAACAACAGCGGCGAGCAGCAGCACAAAGACTTGACGGGGGCGTGGGAGGGCCATGGCAGTTCCAAAGGCAATACTAGCACGTAATAGTACCAGGAGAAAGGGGGAGATGTTGTAGACGTATAGCAGAGAGAGGTGGCAGTTGTAGTAATGACACAAGTGCCGCGATGGTGACCATAATATAGGCAGTGGTGGTCCCGTGTTATGCCTTCCGCCACTTACTTTCCGCATTCCCCGCTACAGCAGTCCTTTTGCTGACTCTGCATCGCGAGACTCACAAACTCCGTTGCCGCAGTTGCTATAATGGACTCTCCACTCAAGCACCAAAGGACCAATAAGGTCGCCCGTGCACCCGTGACGCACGGGGTCAGCAAAGTAAGACTTTCTCAGGTTCCGAGTACTACCTGACCTGGTATAGTCGCACGTGACCTCAGGCTCGCCATTCTGCGGAATTGCGGCGACATGGGAAATGTGAAATACTGCCACGCGGAAAGAACTGCAGATTCACAATTATAGTAATAGGCAACGAAAGCAAATGTATCCGACTCAGCAAGGAAAGATAAATGAGGGCATGCGCTGTCAGCAATGGGCACAATTATTGAGATTCCAGACAAGGAAGCTAAACGCTATAGTTCACACAATAACTCCATTGTTCCCCTATCCACCATGCAGTTGTTTAACTTTCAACGACTACGGTTTGCTTGCTCTAGTCAGCACGATATGGTGTGTGAAGTTTTCCCAACCATCGCCTCCATTCTGGAGACTCCTTCGCAGCAGGAGAAACGAACGCGAGTTGTGGGGTCCGTCGTGCTGGTGGAATAATCTGATCTAGGATCAGACTCGGTTGGAGAAGTTTTTCCGTGGCAGAGGGTATCGCGGTAGCCAATCAGGAAAAGCCACTGACTGGGCGACTCTAGTCAGCATATGGGGTCTCCAATGAACCAGTTCACCAATTTCGCGCTGGCATGGGACGTTGAGGGTTCGATGTTTTTCAAACCCTGTTCGGCGGACTCTGGGTCCAGAGAGGTCCTGGGCTTACATCGTGTTGCGATTTATTTACAATTGGGTTGGTTCGGATCGACCTTGATCGACCAGATCTGACCCGACCGTTCCTGCTCGAAGCTAGAGAGTTGACTTTTTAAAATGTTGATTCAGCTCGACGCACCCGCGACGGAATTCCCAACCAACACAGCAGGCTGGGCGACTTGTGGCGAGTGTCAACAGCTCGCCGAACCTTCTGTTACCAAAAAACCTCGCTAGATCTGCAGTTCGTTAATGAATGGGATCTGGTTGGTGATTGGTGGATGAGGAATGAACAATCTGGTTACGAAGATTCTCGAATATCGTGATCGTGGTCTCAAGCCCTGGATGTTAGCGCTTGGCGAATAGGCCGCGCTAGCAGGGTTTTCTTGGGCGATCTGCTCATCATAGCGGCCAGTGGCACAAGCAGCAGTAAATTCAGACTAGAAGTTCCGCGTTCCGCTTGTTCCGAGATAACACCATTTCGTTCCGCTCTCGCGTGCTTTACGATTCCTCGCATTGCTCTTTCTTAGCCGCCGTTCCTCCCGTCCTTCCTCACTTCCCTGCTGCTCTCATTCCTGCTCTTTTTATCTGCTTCAATGCCAGGCCCTAACAAGCCAAGTTGCCGTTCCTCCATTATTCTCCTCCTCGTCCTCCTCTTCCTCTCACCGTCCTTCAATGTGCCGCCGACAACGCCGTTGACGGTAACGGTAACATCGCCGGTGACAGTGGCGACGGCGGCAAAAGTCATCGGAGCGGATAGAGTTACATACAAGCAGGATCCTAACGAAGAGGAGAAGATAGAAGCTGCGTTAGGCAAGATTAAAGCCCCAGTTCAGGCCTTAACGGTACCAACGCTCCGTAAGACTCTAGCGGAGCATTCTCGCGTCCTTGTAGTGTTCTTCAATAAGGAGGATAAGGCGTTTCCGTTGCTCGTGGATGACGTGTCCGGCGCGAAAGCGGAGTTGACTAAGCTGGGTGTGACTGTAGCGATGGTGGATGGAATTTCGGCGGGCGAAAGCGTTCGCGAAGAGTTCAAGGCGTATGGCGACATGCCGAATTTCGTGCTCGTCAGAGACGGAGTTTTCAGACCAATCAGGGGCTACCCCGAGAGGTGCGAGTCCGGTGTTTGATGAGTATCATCGTCGGGTTACCCTAGTAGAGGAAATGTGACGATTGCATTTCAATGCGGAACTCCATGTTTCGTGCTTGTGTGGGGAGATGGTGCTTTCAAACAGACGAGGGTACCCTAGACGGGATTCTTGAGAGCTCTTGAAAAACACTTCTATTCCCTCCTCCCGATCCCAGCGACGAGCTCATCACCTTTGCGAAGAAGCGCCCGGGCCCTCTCAGTCGCTCACCTCTCTTATCAACGCCGCTGTGCAATCACCCAATCCCCTCTCTGCTCCAATTCCAGTGATGAGCTCATCACTTTTGTGAAGAAGCGGCTGGGCCTGTCAGTGACTCACCTCTCCGCCTCAGAGGCGCACAAGGCACACTCCCTGCTCGCTGCTTCCAGCGCCATCGCCCTCGCCTTCCTCCACTCCGTCAAGGTTGGTTGATAGTGCGTGTGTGCGTCTCTCCTTTTGCCTCTCTCTGCCTCGTCTCGCTGCCCGTCTGCCTGTCAGTCACCCACTCACCTCTCTGCCTCAGAGGCGCACAAGGCACACTCCCTGCTCGCTGCTTCCAGCGCCATCGCCCTCGCACTCCTCCACTCCCTCAAGGTCGGTTGTCGGTTCTCTCTCTATCCGTGCCTCGATGCCTGTCTCTCTGCCCATTTGTCAGTCAGTCAGTCAGTCACTCACCTCTCTCTCCCTTCTCTCTGCTCGCTGCTTCCAACGCCATCGCCCTCGCACTCCTCCACTCCCTCAAGGTCGGTTGTCGGTTCTCTCTCTATCCGTGCCTCGATGCCTGTCTCTCTGCCCATTTGTCAGTCAGTCAGTCAGTCACTCACCTCTCTCTCCCTTCTCTCTGCTCGCTGCTTCCAACGCCATCGCCCTCGCACTCCTCCACTCCCTCAAGGTCGGTTGTCGGTTCTCTCTCTATCCGTGCCTCGATGCCTGTCTCTCTGCCCATTTGTCAGTCAGTCAGTCAGTCACTCACCTCTCTCTCCCTTCTCTCTGCTCGCTGCTTCCAACGCCATCGCCCTCGCGCTCCTCCACTCCCTCAAGGTCCGTGCGTGCATCTGCCTCCCTCTTTATCTTCATGTCTCTCTGCTCGTCCCTTTCGCCGTTTGTCTGCTGCCTGTATGCTCAAATGGCCATCAAAGAATTTCTGCAACTAATGAGTTACAACGCCCTTGCTTGCTTTAATCCTCCAGCCACTCCACTCACTCACTCTTCCCTTCTTTGCGCTTCTTTTGACTCATTATTTGCTGATTTTGTTTTCCGTGTGCGATTTGTGCTCTTCTTTCCTTTCTAATCAAACTAATTCCAGGGCCCTGAGGCAAAGGCGTTCGCAGAGGCTTCCCGCGACATTGACGACATAGAGTTCTTTGCCACGACAGACTTTTAAGTCGACTCAAAAGACTTTTGAGTCGACTCAAAAGTCACCTGAGTTCATTGCCGCGACAGGCATCTCCCTGCTCCTCCATCTGCCAGCCACTAACCTCTATGGCCCCTCCCGTGTCTCTCCTCCTGTCCAATCTCAGGGTCCCGAAGCAGAGGCTTTCGCAGAAGCTTCCCGCGACATCGACGATATCGAGTTTATCGCGACGACAGACGCTAACATTGCAGCGGAATTCAGGATTGTGAGCAAGGAGCGACCGACAGTGGCGGTTATTAAGAAGGAGGACGAGAAGTTTGTTGCTCATGGTAAGGAGAGGAAGCGGGATGGATTGATGCCAACGGATGGGTTGATACAGCAGCATGGTAGCAGAGGGGAGTTCAGGATTGTGAGCAAGGAGCGACCGACAGTGGCAGTGATCAAGAAGGAGGACGAGAAGTTTGTTGCTCATGGTGAGAGAGAGGGGTCATCATGGTAAAAAGAAGACGAGAGGGTTGATTGCATGGCAGCACAGCATTGTAGCAACATCCGGCAAGAGCGTGAGCAAGGAGCGAGCGACCGACAGTGGCAGTGATTAAGAAGGAGGACGAAAAGTTTGTTGCTCATGGTGAGACAATAATGGGGAGGGTTCATGTCCCGTCCCGTCACCAGCGCTGCCATTGCTGCCTGCCTTTGTGACTGCCAACAAGCTGCCTCAACCACTCTTAGAAGCTGTCGCATGACCCCTTTCTAACCTCCCTCCCCTCCCCTGTATCCCGCAGACGCTCCCGTCATCAGCGCTGCCATTGCTGCCTGCCTTTGTAACAGCCAACAAGCTGCCTCAACCACTTGTCACGTACTTCTTTAGGTCAACCTCTGTACCCCCCTTTCCTACCCTCTTTCTTTGCCGCCTCCCCTCTCCTCTTACTCCCAACCCAGACGGTCCCTTCACAAGCCCTGCCATTGCTGCCTTTGTAACGGCCAACAAGCTGCCTCTGGTTACCACCTATGACGAGGACAGCCAGTACACTATTTTCAATAGTGATATCAAGAAACAAGTGAGTGTTTAGTTTACAGTGATTGTTGTAACAGTTTAAATCTGGTTACCGCCTATGACGAGGGCAGCCATTACACTATTCCATTATTTCTCCCACCCGCCTCCCCCACCATCCATTCACAAGTGCTAATTCTGGAAACGAATGAGACCTACTGCGAGCCAGTGGCATTTGGGTCAGCGCCATAATAACCTCATGCTCATCTCCCCCTTCCCCCCGGCCCCCGCCTCCCCTGCCATCCCTTCACGAAGTGCTCTTCCTGGCAACGAATGAGACCTACTCCCAGCAATACCTGCCACCCAGTGGCTTTTGATTGAGTCAGCTCCATATTCCCATCGAAAGTGGCAGCTCAATATTCCCGCCCACTCTACCCACACTCCGATCTGATCTGATTATCCCCCAACCCACCATCCCTTCACCAGGTGCTCTTCCTGGCAACCAATGAGACCTACGCGCAGCACCTGCCAGCCAGTGGCTTTTCAGTCATCTCCAAAGTCACCTCATGCGCATCTCCCCCCCCTCCCCTCCTCCACCCTCCCCCACCATCTATTCACGAGGTGCTGTTCCTGGCAATGAATGAGTCCTACGCGCAGCAATACCTACCAGCCAATGGCTTTTGAGACAGCCCCCCTCCCCCCTCTCCTCCGTCCCCCGTGCCGCCCGCCTCCCACCGTCTATTCACCAGGTGCTGTTTCTAGCCACAAATGAGACCTACGCGCAGCACCTGCCTGTGGTGAAAGAGGCTGCCAGGCGGGTGAAAGGACTGGTAAGACAGACAGGGCTGGGAACGAGGGAAGAGGGTTTTTGATACATGGGGAAAAAGGTGGGGGGACAATAGGGAGAGTGAAAAAGAACGAGGGCGCTCTAGTACAAGGGAAAAAGGAAGGCCTTTTAAGAGGGAAAGAGGCTGCCAGGCGGGTGAAAGGACTGGTGAGGCAGAGTGAATGGAAGGAAGATGGGAGGGATAGAGAGGTGGTGTGAAGGAGAGAGGGGGATGGGGGGTAGGGGGAAGGCAGGGATAGGCTCACAGCATGTCATTTTCCTTGGTGCACATCTCATCTTCTCTTGTCATCCACCCCTTCCACCCTTCATCCCTTCGCCCGGTCCCCAACCTCGCCTATCCACCAGGCTCTCTTTGTGTATATCAACAGTGACCTTCCGGACTCAGAGCATGCACTCGAGTATTTTGGCTTCAGGCATGGCGATACTGCGGTGAGCATGGGTTCAGTGCGGTGAGTGTGGGCGTAATGTGGTGCGTGTGGGCTAAAAGTGGTGAGTTTGGTTTTAATGGTTAATGCAGTGAGTGGGCGTGGGTTGAATGCGGTGATTGCAGTGTGCCCCTCCATCCATCTCCATCCCTCTGCCGCCCTCTTTCGCCCTCTGCACCCCTCTGCTGCTCCGGGCTACCTCGCTTCAGATCATGGGCATGGTATCCAATAAGACAGATGAGTCGAAACACACGCTGCACTGCCACACTCACATGCATACATGCTATCCCATGCCTGCAATTCCCTTACTGTAAAACATGGGCATGGTACCCATTGCCCAATGAGATACGATGAGATCAAGTGCAAGCTCAACGTGTAACTCACTCTGCCTCTGCCTCCCGTCTGACCCGTCTCCCATCTGATCTGCCTCCCATCTGCCTCCCACCCATCTTCCTTCGTCTGCCTCCCTCTCTGCTCAGATCACGGGCATGGTACCCAATCCAATGAAACGGATGAGATCGGGTTCAAAGGCCAGCTCACACTTCATTTCCACTCCTTTCTCCCACCTCCATGTTCTTTCATGTTCTCCACTCCATGTCTCTGTTTCAGATCATGGGCATGGTATCCAATGAGACAGATGAGGTCAAGTTTAAATTCAACGGGCAAATCACCACAGATGATATTGAGGTGCGTTCCTCTCCTCTCCTCTCCATTGAGGCATGTTTTGAGGCAACTCGCACGTTCCTTATCACTCACTGAACATGTACCAGTAACTCCCCTGATCGTTTCTTTTCATGTTCAACCCCTCCTAAGCTTTCAGTAAGTTCACTGCTCCCAGGCCAGACCTAAATGTACCAAACCCTGCTCGTTTTCCTCATCCCACCCCCTTTACAAAACGCACCACCCTCAACCAACCAACTCCGCAGGCCTTTGCCCGTGAGCTTGCTGCTGATGCATTGGAGCCATACTACCTCTCCGACCCCATCCCAGAGAAGGTGAGTGCTGGTCGGTGAGTGGCGATCGGTCATATCGTTTCGTATATGTGAGTAAGGGGATGTGTAAGGGGGTCACATGAGTGAGTGGCAGTAAGGGGGGAAGACTCTCCAAGTCACTGCCTCTGTGAGTAAGGGGGGAAGACTTTCCAAGTCACTGCCTCTGTGAGTAAGGGGGGAAGACTTTCCAAGTCACTGCCTCTGTGAGTAAGGGGGGAAGACTTTCCAAGTCACTGCCTCTGTGAGTAAGGGGGAAGACTTTCCAAGTCACTGCCTCTGTGAGTAAGGGGGGAAGACTTTCCAAGTCACTGCCTCTGTGAGTAAGGGGGGAAGACTTTCCAAGTCACTGCCTCTGTGAGTAAGGGGGGAAGACTTTCCAAGTCACTGCCTCTGTGAGTAAGGGGGGAAGACTTTCCAAGTCACTGCCTCTGTGAGTAAGGGGGGAAGACTTTCCAAGTCACTGCCTCTGTGAGTAATGGGGGAAGACTTTCCAAGTCACTGCCTCTGTGAGTAAGGGGGGAAGACTTTCCAAGTCACTGCCTCTGTGAGTAAGGGGGGAAGACTTTCCAAGTCACTGCCTCTGTGAGTAAGGGGGGAAGACTTTCCAAGCCAAGTCACTGCCTCTGTGCTGCATTCCATTCCATTCCTCTCACTCCATTCCATGCAGAAGACGGTCCAGTGCCGGTGGCAGGACATTAAATCAACGCCGCTGCCTTTGTGTTCTGTTCTCACTGCATCTTCTTTCTGAATGCATATCTCTCTGATTGCATATCTCTCTCTGATTGCATATCTCTCTGATTGCATATCTCTCTGATTGCATATCTCTCTGATTGCATATCTCTCTCATTGCATCCTTCTCATTACATCCCTCTCATTCAGTCCCTCTCCCTCCATCCCTCTCATTTTACACCACTTCCTTACGTGCAGAACGAAGGTCCAGTGCTGACGGTGGTGGGGAAGAATTTCAAGGATATTGTGATGGACAGGACAAAAGATGTGTTGCTCAAGGTATTTATGGTTAGATTGGATTCTGCTTATGTTAAGATACATGCGCAAATGCAGGAGATGATAATACATCCTGCAGGTCAAAGGTCATTGTGATGGACAGAACCAAGGATGTGTTGCTCAAGCCTCAAGGTACTCGTGGTTTGCACTCTGCTCAAGGATGGGCAACTGTCTTAGAGTAGCTTCAGATCAGTTGAGTTAGAATTTGAAGGACATTTTGATGGACAGGACAGGACCAAGGAGGTGCTTCTTAAGGTATCGCCTGTGCACCCCTGCGTATTGTCCGTCTCAACTTGTTTTCCGTGTAGCCATAGTAGGCATGTTGGAATTTCAAGGACACTGTCAGTAATGGACAGGAGCGAGGGTGTGCTGCTCAATGTATTCCGTATGTGAGCTCGCTCAGACAGGCTCACTCACGCTTAGATACATCAGCTATGAGTGCATGAGAATACACTTTGCTGGTTCGTTCACAGGGCGTTTCAAGAAGCTTGCTCTCAAGCTCCTGGACGTGCCTTCACTGGTCTTAGCCTGCATGACTCTCCTTATCCTATTACCTCCCCTCGTTCACTGCCCTGCATAGATCGACATGGATCACTGTGACGACTGCACCGATCTTGACCCCACCTTCAAGAAGCTGCCGCCTCACATGCTTGTCTCCTTATCTTCTTACACACTCCCCCCCCCCTTCTACCCTCACCCCTACAGATCGACGTGGATCACTGTGACGACTGCACCGACCTCGACCCCACATTCAAGAAACTGGCTATCAAGTTCTCTGGCATGCCCTCTCTGGCCTTCGCCCGCATGAACGCACGCAACAACGAGTACCCGGGCCTGGAAGTGAGTGATTGGACAAAGGTAGGCCATGTGTGTAGCACTGTGCAGCACTGTGCTGCGTTGCTCTGCTCGCAAGCTCACCACCTGTGTGCCCTCGCTCGTCTTTGCGTGCATGAACGCTCGCAACAACAACGAGTGCCCGGGCCTGGATAAGAGTGGCTTAAAGTCTCCATCGCCTGTGAAAAAATAACTTGTCGCTTGCTGGGCAAGCAGCAGAGTCAGTACCCGTACCATATGGCATATGGCATAGCCATACCATACGTACCATATGGCATCACTCTCAAGCTCCTTGACGGGCCCTCTCTGGCCTTCACCTGCATGAACGCTTACAACAATGAGTGTCTGGGCCTCCTGCGCCCACTCCTCACCCTCCCTCCTGCGCCCACGCCTCACCACGTGTAAAAAGGATTTTTTTTTTTTTTTTTTTTTGACGTCTCAGAAAGACCCTTGACGGGCCCTCTCTGGCCTCCGCCTGCATCAACGCCCACAGCAATGAGTTTCTGGGTCTCCTGCGCCCACGCTTCACCCTCCCTCCTGGCCCACCTGCCCCTCCCCCCCCCTCCCCCCCCCTTCCCCCCCCCCCCCCCCCCCCCAAAAAACCAGGTGTCCGCCTTCCCCACGCTGCTGCTCTACCCCGCCAATCGAAAGTCTGACCCGGTACGACCATACCGCTCAAAGCACATACAGCACATACAACTCGTAGAGCACTTAATGCATCACCCAACCACCAGGTGTCCGCCTTCCCCACGCTGCAGCTCTACCCCGCCAAGTCAGATCCGGTATGTCTATGCAGCACTTGCAGTACTTGCAGCACATGCATGCGGCTCGGCACTCACACACGTTGACGGCGCCTCGTCACAGACATTGCACACAAACAGCCCATATAGCAGATGCAGCACACACAGCTACTACTAGTACATGCAAACCCCTTGCAGTACTTAAAGCACTTGCGGCACCCACACACGTTGACGTTGCCTTGCCTTGCCACAGACATTGCATACCCACAGCTCATACAGCACACATGCAGCACACACAGCTCAAAGCACATGCCACAGTTGCAGCAGTTTCATGCACTCACCCTTCCCATTATGGCCGCTTTTGTCCCTTCATAGTGCACATATCGACACTCACCACACTCGCCTCGGCCCGTTGACCAATTTTGTTGTGAGGAATATGCGCGCAGCTCAACCCTTTTCCTGTCCTGTTCCATTGATGTTGCCCCCTTCATTGCGCAGATCGACACACACCACACTCGACTCGGCCCGTTGACCGACTTTGTTGTGAGGAATGCTGCCATTCCGGTCAAGATGCCCTCTGAGGCGCCGCCTCAGAAGCCGTCCCAGCGTTCCAAGTCTAAGGAGGAGGCGGAAGAGGAGAAGGAGCTTCACCTTGACCTCGAGGAGGCAAAGGCACCGACGAAGGGGTCTCATGATGAGCTTTGATTTTGGCTAAATCCTTTTGTCTGTTTTTTTTTTTTTTTTTTTTTTTTTTTTCAGAGAATTAAGCATTTTCTCCACTTCCCGTGCTACCCATATTTGAGTGATGGAATGGAACTGATTTTCCCATAATATTTCAAAGATTTTGCATTTACTTTTCATATAATTTTTTACATTTACACAATTTTATCTACTCTGGGTATACCGAGTGGGTTTGTGGTGGTTCCAGAACCGTCGACGAAGCGGGAAATTCTCAAACCAAAAGCGCGCCAAAAGCATCCACACCTGATTGACAAGCTCGGCCCAATAGACCTGTACTGACAGGCCAATTGGGTCCTGACCGAACTTCCCCACGAGGGAGCGGCACGGAGTCCAAACGGGAAGGGAGTCCGAGCTGCGATGATTTTGGTTGCGAAACGCCGCAAAATCGGAGCCCTTGAAAACCTTACCCCACCTAAGGTCACAAAAACTCGTTCACGATTGGTTCGTCATGCTCCTCGAAACTTTCCATTAGCTGGAGGATCCGCGTTAAGTTCCTTCTCGGTCTATCTGCTACCCGTCAAACCCACCAAAAGAGCTCTTCGATAACACCTAGGTTAGGGTCGCTCTAAGAGCTTTACAGTATAGGTTGTGTCAGAACGTGGGTGGGCTCTTCACTTGGCTTCTGGTCCAGCATCAGTAGCTGTAGTTAGTTATCTCGCAGATTGCGACCTTCAGAGCTGGTGGGTTCAGTATGTGTTCACTTAGCTCGAGTAACCGAAGACATCAGTCTGCTAGGTCCTTTCGTGAAGGTGGTGCTCGTTTCCAATGCGCGGAAACTCCACTGTCATGCCATTGCATGATGTGACTGTTGATCAGAACCTGTGATGTTTGAACTCGTATCGGAGACCTAGGTAGTCTTGATACATCTTTTTCTTTAACCCGGGTTACAGATAGTTTTTAGAAGCGATTTTCTAGGGAATTTCGGAGCAATGGCAGTAGGGTACAAAGGAAAGCCGAATTTTAGAAGCTCAGCTAAGAGCCACTGGAGTCGCGGAAAACTTCTAGTGCCGGCGACGGTCGTGCTGTTAGCGGCAGTCGGCGTGCTACACTACTACTCTTACGTTAAAGGCCATCATGCTACTAATGAATTCGCCAATATCGAAGGTGTCATACGACGCGAGCTAGTGGACCAGGGATCGGATCCTGAATGCCACGTCGACCCCAGTCCTGCCACGTGTCAGCACATCGACCTCGTCGCGTTTGCCACGGTCAGTGGGCCTGCCTTGGTTGATCCTTGCCGCAAGCTCGCGACCATCAATCCCCAAGTGCTCCACGTGGACAATAAGTTTAATTTCATGGTCGAATCACGACATGCTTGCGACGGCAGGCATAGAAAGACCAACTCCTGAATCATCATTTCTGCGTCGCGCTTGGAGGCATAGTGTGCAGTTTCCCATGGGCAGTTCCCAAGCAGTTCCCCATGGGCTCTCTCTTCTCCCTCTTTCCTTTCCACATCCCAGCGATGGGAGACTCTGTGTTTGGCTTGGCGCACCCGGTAGCAGCAGTGCATCGACTCGCCGTCCAAGTGCTCTGGCTGACAGATAGCTCCTTTGACCTCTCTTCTCCCTCTTTCCCCTCTCATCTCTCCTTCTTGTATCCACCTCGCCCTACTCCCGTCAGGGCCCCATACCCCAGCGATTGGAGACTGTGTGAGTGGCGCACGCAGTAGCAGCAGTGCACCAGCTCACCATGCGAGTGCTCTGGCTGACAGATAGCTCCTTTGACCTCTCTTCTCCCTCTTCCCCCTCTCATCTCTCCTTCTTGTATCCACCTCGCCCTCCTCCCCCCAGGGTCCCATACCCCAGCGCCTGGAGACTGTATCTTTGGCGCACGCGGTAGCAGCAGTGCATCAGCTCACCGTGCGAGTGCTCTGGCTGACAAATGAAGCCCTCTTGAGCTTCCTTCCCCCTCTTTCCCTCCTTCTCAACTTTCTTCCCCGCCTTCTCTCTCTTCCCTCAGGGTCCCATACCCCAGCGCCTGGAAACTGTGTGTTTGGCGCACGCGGTAGCAGCAGTGCATCAACTGACCTTGCTAGTGCGCTCTGGCCGACAAATGAACCCCTCTTGAGCTTCCTTCCCCCTCTCTCCGTCCCTCTCTCCTTTCTTCCCCGCCTTCTCTCTCTTCCCTCAGGGTCCCATACCCCAGCGCCTGGAGACTGTGTGTTTGGCGCACGCGGTAGCAGCAGTGCATCAGCTCACCGTGCGAGTGCTCTGGCTCTCAGATGAGCCGCCAGCAAGCCAACAACAGCCGCAGCAGCAGCAGCAGCAGCAGAGGGTGGGCATGCCGTACGTGCCGTTCTCAGCCCTGTTTGAGCCGGCGCTGACGGTGGTGGAGACGAATCTCTCTGCTGCTGATGCCACAAGGAGGTTCATCCACGAGCTCTTCACCCCCAAGGCGGTGAGTGCGGTGCGGTGCAGTGCGGTGCAGTGAGGTGTAGTACGGTGAGTGGGAGTATAAGGCAGGCCGTTCTCAGCCCTGTTTGAGCCGGCGCTGACGGTGGTGGAGACGAATCTGTCCGCTGCTGATGCCACAAGGAGGTTCATCCACGAGCTCTTCACGCCCAAGGCGGTGAGTACAGTGCAGTGCAGTGCGGTGCAATGCGGTGTAGTGTGGTGTAATGCAGTGAGTGGGAGGATAGGGCGGGCTGTTCTCTTCTCTGTTTCAGCCGGCGCTGACGGTGGTGGAGACGAATCTGTCCAATGCTGATGCCACGAGGAGGTTCATTTACGAGCTCTTCACTCCCAAGGCGGTGAGTGGGTTGGCAGGGCGTGGGATGGCATGGGGTGGCATGGGGTGGCATGGCGTGAGTGAGATCACAGGCTGGGATGAGTGAGAGGGATGGACATGGCAACAGCAGCAGCAGCAGAGGCAGAGGGCGGGCATGCCATATGTGCCGTTCTCTAGTCTGTTTGAGCCGGCGCTGACGGTGGTGGAGACGAATCTATCCGCAGCTGACGCTACCAGGCGCTTCATCCACGAGCTCTTCACTCCCAAGGCGGTGAGTGCAGTGCGGTGCGGTGTAGTGTGTGCAGTGCGGTGCAGTATAGTGCGGTGTAGTGCAGTGAGTGGGAGCACAGGGCGGGCTGTTGATCCACGAGCTCTTCACTCCCAAGGCGGTGAGCACAGTGCGGCTCAGTGTGGTGTAGTGCAGTGCAGTGCGGTTCAGTGTGATGTAGTTCAGTGCAGTGCGGTGTAGTGCAGCTAGTGGGAGCGATGGGTATGCCAGCACCAGCAATCCGCTGCTGATGCCACGCAGCGGTTGATCCACGAGCTCGTCACGCTAAGACGGTGAGCGCAGTGCGGTGCAGTGCAGTGTGGTATAGTGCGGTGTAGTGCATGCAGTGTAGTGCGGTTTAGTGCAGTGTAGTGCAGTGTAGTGAGAGTTATGGGTTGAGTGGGTGGGTGGGTGAGAGCACAGGATGGCATGAGTGGATGAGTGAGAGGGATGGACATGCCGCATGCCCAAGGCGGTGAGTGTGTGTAGTGTAGTGCAGGACATGGCAGGACATGGTATGGGTGGGAGTGGGAGCGCATGGGCGATTTTCACCAAGGCGGCGAGTGCAGTGTATGGCAACATGTGTGCACGACTAAGTGCTTCGTCGATACGCATTTGATATGGGAGGGAGGGTAGGACCGTCGACATGCATTCAAGGCCCGTGCTCCCGAGACACGTGGGAGCGAATGCAATGAGCATTGAAATGTTTTGTCGGACTCTGACCCTCATCCTCCCCACCTACTCTTTCCTCCCTGTGCCTCCTCCCTCCTTCCCTTCTTTCCCTTCTTCTCCTCCCTCCCCCTCACAGCACCATTACAGCCCGTGCTTCTGAGACACGTGGGAGCGCAATCAGCAAGAATTAATGTGTGTTGTGAGACCTTGACCGTCATCCCCCAATTTCCCCTTCCACCCTTTCCCATCCCTCTCTATCCTCTGGCCCCCTCATAGCACCAGCACAGCCCGTGCTTCCGAGAGACGCGGGAGCGCGTTCGGCGAGCATCAGTGTGCTCTGTAAAGCCTTGACCCTCATCCCCCCCTCCCCGCCTACCCTCCCTCCCCTTCCCACTCCATCCTCTCTCCCCCTCACAGCACCAGTACGGTCCATGCTTCCGAGACACGTGGGAGCGACTTCAGCCAGCATCACAGCGCAAAAGCGCTTTCCCCCGCACCTCCTCTGCTGACGCTGACTCGGACTCCGACTCTGTTGACTCAGATTCTGACTCTGCTCAGGGACCCAGATTCAGACTCTGCTGACTCAGACGCAACCTCAGATGCAGGCGGCGCACGCGGTAAAGGTACCGAAGAGGCTTATAGCGAGGATGAGCCGGTGGTGTCGATGTGGACGGGTGAGCTGGACAGTGAGGAGGTGGCGGGGCGGCCCTTGGGATTGCCGCGGAAGCTGACCCTGCATGGGTGGTTCCGCACTGAGTCCCTGCAGCGCAGCAATGTGGTGAGTGGCCAATGTGGTTAGTGGATTGCTGCTAAAGCTGCTACACAGGCTGATACAAGCAGATTACCCTATGGCCCTTGGGATTGCCGTGGAAACTGATCCTGCATGGGTGGTTCCGCACTGAGTCCCTACAGCGCAGCAATGTGGTGAGTGGCCAATGTGGTTAGTGGCCAATGTGGTTAGTGGCCAATGTGGTTAGTGGCCAATGTGGTTAGTGGCCAATGTGGTTAGTGGCCAATGTGGTGAGTGGCCAATGTGGTTAGTGGCCAATGTGGTTAGTGGCCAATGTGGTGAGTGGCCAATGTGGTTAGTGGCCAATGTGGTTAGTGGCCAATGTGGTTAGTGGCCAATGTGGTTAGTGGCCAATGTGGTGAGTGGCCAATGTGGTTAGTGGCCAATGTGGTTAGTGGCCAATGTGGTGAGTGGCCAATGTGGTGAGTGGCCAATGTGGTGAGTGGCCAATGTGGTGAGTGGCCAATGTGGTGAGTGACGGCTGATGGTTTGAGTGACTGAGTGGTGAAAGGGCAGCCGCTACAGCTGCTACAGCTGCTACTAACCTAATAGCCCTTGGGATTGCCGAGGAAGCTGACTCTGCATGGGTGGTTCCGGACTGAGTCTGCAACACAGCAACGTGGTGAGTGGCCAATGTGGTTAGTGGATCGCTGCTAAAGCTGCTACACAGGCTGATACAAGCAGATTACCGTATGGCCCTTGGGATTGCCGAGGAATCTGACTCTGCATGGGTGGTTCCGCAGTGATTCCCTTCCCTGCTTGCGACCCTCCCTGGTACTGCCGAGTCTTTTCCATTCTCTCCTGATCTACATCTCTCTCTCCCATCTCTCCCTTATTGCTTGCCGCATAGGGTGTCTTTGAGAATTCTAGAAAACGCTCTGCAACATTTTGAGAATTCTCAACAGCACTCTGAGTCTGTTCCGTTCTCTCCTAATCTACGTCGCTCTCTCCCATCTTTCCCTTATTGCTTGCTGCGCAGGACTGGCAGGAGGAACGGGTGGGCTGTCTGGTGTGGGCGCACGTGCAGAAGTGTTCTGCCAGAGTGAAGCCCTCACCTGCTGCTGCTGGGTCTGTTCCCCTCTCTCTCTTCTCCCCCTTATTGCTTGCCGTGCAGGAGGAGTGGCAGGAAGAGCGCGTGGGGTGTCTCGTGTGGGCGCACGTGCAGAAGTGTTATGCAAAGCTGCAGCCTTCTCCTGCTGTAGCGGCGATGGTGCGAGAGGAGGGGGTGAGCCAGACGCGCGTGGAGAGCAGCATTGGCGTCTACCTTGATGTGAGTCATTGCGTGGTGTGGTGTTCCATTCAGGTATTATCCATCTGGTAGGTATCACTGCTGCCGCCAGTCTGCATGCAGCCGTCCCCTGCTGTGGCCGCTATGGTGCGAGAGGAGGGGGTCAACAGCACGCGCGTGGAGAGCAGCATTGGGGTCTACCTGGATGTGCGTCGTTGCATAGTGGCGTGGTGTTTCACTAGCACCTAGTATCTACCTTGTATCTTTGTTGCTGTTCGCCTGTTGCCAGGCTGCTGCAGCCGTCCCCTGCTGTGGCCGCTATGGTGCAAGAAGAGGGGGTCAACAGCACACGCATGGAGGGCAGCATTGGTGTGTTCCTGGATGTGAGTCGTTGCATAGTGGCGTGGTGTAGCAACTATTGTTTGGCAGTTAATCCAATGTGTAACAACGTTTGGAGTATTATAGCCCTCCTCTCCCCTGGGCCCCTCCTTCCTTCCTTGTACCTTCCCCTGCGCACACCTACAGTCCACCCGAGGCACCTGCTTCGGCTGTCCTCTCTCTCTCAATCCTGCCGACTGCGCCGCCCGCACGCTCGCCCTCACCATACTCCACCGCCCCTCCATCCACTCCCCCCTTCGTCCGCCTCGTCTCGTCTCGTTCTTCTGGTCTGGCAACAACCAAGTCGATTCGCTTCGCCTTTTTTTTTTTTCCGCCTTTCGTTGACCCTTCCTTCCACCACCCTTCCTTCCCCCAAAAAAACAAAACAGGCCACCCCCCGAGGCACCTGCCCCGGCTGCCCCTCCTCCCTGAATCCTGCCGACTGTGCCGCCCGGACCCTCGCCCTCACCATGCTCCACCGCCCGTCCATCGATTTCACGCTCGGCTCCGCCGTCCAGTCGCACCCGGCGCACATCGTCTCTTTCTTTGATGCTGACCGCGCGCCGTACGTGTCGCCGTCCGCCGCGTTCCGGGCGGCAAACTGTGGGGAGAAGCTGGTGCAGGCGATGGGGGATAAGGGGGAGGGGGCGTCTGAGAGACTGGCTGAAATGGTGGTGACTTGCAAGCAGAGAGAGGTGAGAGCAGATGCCTCTTGAATCCTTCCCTCCCTCCTCTTACCCCCTCTCTCTCTTACCCCCTCTCTCACTCTTTCTGTTCAACTGGCAAACTGCGGGAAGAAGCTGGTGCAAGGATGGGGGATAAGGGGGAGGGGGCGGCTGAACGGCTGGCTGAAATGGTGGTGACATGCAAGCAGCGAGAGGTGAGAATGGTCTACCTCTTCATATCTCTTCCCCCCATCCCTCCACTCTTTGAGTTCCGGGCGGCAAACTGCGGGGAGAAGCTGGTGCAGGCGATGTGGGATAAGGGGGAAGGGGGGGGCTGAGAGGCTTGCGGAAATGGTGGTGACATGCAAGCAGCGAGAGGTGAGAGAAGAAGCTCGTGAAGGCGATGGGGGAGAAGGTGGAGGGGGTGGCTGAGAGGAAGGTTGTGATGGAACCAAGCACCCCCTCAGACTGCATCACAGCGGGGGAAATGCGCCGCATGCCTTCCTCCAATGTCTCACCTTTCCCTCGTGTGTGTATATTGCTTCGCCCACCCTTCAACTCCCAGGTGGCTGATCTCTGCCTGTCACAACCTTCTGTTCCCGTCTTGCTTCTCCCACCCCTCCACCTCTCCAGGTGGCTGATCTCTTCCTGCTGGCCCAGGCCACCGGGCTGGTGGTGATGGAGCCGAGCACGCTCTCAGACTTCATTGCAGCGAGGGGGAGGCACGGCGCCTCCTCCCCTCCTTCCATCTCTCACCTTTTCTGTATATTGCTTCTCGCACCCACCCCCAGGTGACAGATCTCTTTCTTTGGCACAAACCACAGGGTTGGTGGTGGTGGTGCCGAGCACGCTCTCAGACTTCATTGCAGTGAGGGGGAGGCACCGCCTCCCCTCCTTCCATGTCTTACCTTTTTCCCTCGTGCCTGTATATTGCTTCTCCCACCCCTCTATTTTTTTAGGTGGCTGATCTCTTCCTACTGGCCCTGACCACCAGGCTTGTGGTGATGGAGCCGAGCACGCTCTCAGACTTCATCGCAGCAAGGGGGAGGCACTGCGAGCCATCCTTCCATGTCTTACCTTTCCCTCGTGCCTCAGCACATCTTGCTTCTCCCACCCCCGGGTGGCTGATCTCTTCCTGCTCGCGCAAACCACAGGCCTGGTGGTGATGAAGCCGAGCACGCTCTCAGACTTTGTGGCAAAGATAGCAAGGCACTGCCTTCTTCTGACTTACCTCTTGCTCCCATCTTGCCTCTCCCACCCCACCTCTGCTGCTTGCAGGTGGCTGATCTCTTCCTGCTTGCGCAAACCACAGGCCTGGTGGTGATGGAGCCGAGCACGCTTTCAGACTTCAATACCTTCCCCCTTGTCCCTTTTCCCCCATATGCTCGCTTTCCACCTACACAGGTCGCCGATCTCTTCCTCCTCGCGCAGACCACCGGCCTTGTGGTGATGGAGCCGAGCACGCTCTCAGACTTCATCGCAGCGAGGGGGAGGCACCGCCTCCCCTCCTTCCGCCTCTTCACGCCGCTGTGCCTGGCGGAACGCGCCTGGCCCATGACTGTGCAGCCATTCGCCTACTTCTTTGCTGTTGAACGTAAGTTGCTTGGGACACATGCATGGTTGATTGCATGAGTGCATGATGTGATGCGGGTTCATTGGTGCACCGCCTCCCCTCCTTCCGCCTCTTCACGCCGCTGTGCCTGGCGGAACGCGCCTGGCCCATGACTGTGCAGCCCTTCGCTTACTTCTTTGCTGTTGAGCGTAAGTAGAGGTGCATGGCTGCATGTGCATGGCTGGTTGCATGAGAACATGTGCTTATGAGTTCATGAGCGCATGTAGGCACACTGCAAACCTGCCTTCCGCCTCTTCACGCCGCTGTGCCTGGCTGCGCGAACCTGGCCCATGACTGTGCAGCCCTTCGCCTACTTCTTTGCTGTTGAACGTGAGTGAGTACACGTATGGTTGACTGCACGTGTGAATACATGCTTGTACCATGCATGCGCACATGTCACATGTCACGGAGCCACATCTTCCATCCCGGCAAGAGGCGGGAAGATGTGGCTCCGAGCCATGCAGCTCAACCTGCCCAACCCTCTGCTTACTCTTTGTTACCCTTGTTTGTTACTGCTTTCTTCATCCTAACCCCCAACCAGCTTCACTGGGAATCGCCTTCTGCAGCATGCCCAAGGTCGCCTGCACGGGATGGAAAATGTGGCTGCGAGCCATGCTCAACCTTCCCAAGCCCCGAGACCCCTTTCTCGCACACAGCCACAAGGACTTGGGCCTTGGAGACCTCTCCCAGAAATACTCCGAGAAGCAAGCCACGAAGCTCATGACGCGCCGAATCCTCTGCTTACCCTTTGTGACTCCTTGCTACCCCGTTATTCCTGCTTCTTTCCCACCATCCCCCCACCAGCTACCCTAGGCATAGCCTACTGCAGCATGCCCAAGGTCGCCTGCACGGGATGGAAGATGTGGCTCCGAGCCATGCTCGGCTTGCCCAAGCCCCGAGACCCTTTTCTCGCGCACAGCCACAAGGAATCAGGCCTGGGAGACCTCTCCCAGAAATACTCTGAGAAGCAAGCCACTAAGCTCATGACCCGCCGAACCATGTTCAAATTCACGTTCGTTCGGAACCCATACGTGCGGATAGCCTCAACGTACCTGAACAAGCTCGTGATCACCGATGCTCCGGAGAGGAAGGAGGGGTGGGGCACGAGGAAGTTTTGGAACCAGGAGTTTTTTGGGACGGCGAAGAGGATTTTGGATTTATTGAAGGATCCAGCGACAGATCTTGTGAGCTTTCCGGATTTTATTCGGCTGCTGGATCATCTGCGGCGGACGCGTGTCAAAACGGACCGACACATCTCAAGACAGGTGAGACCCACGTATCCCCGGGTTGTCACGGATTTCCCTGCTGGATCGTTTATATCATCTGAGGTGGACGCGTGTCTAGACAGGCTGACACATTTCCAGAGAGGTGTAATTTTGTGTGTCAATGTGTTGGTGATTGGATGTAATCATGACTGTTACTATATTAGTTGTTATCATTCTTATAATTATTATGATCACTTTTATAATTATTACTATTATTAATACCATTATTGCTACTGTTATCACTGCTATTATTGTTGTTATTATCCCCCGTCACTCCCAGGTGGACATCTGTGGCTTGGCACACGTTCAGTATGACTTTGTGGGTCGTTTTGAGCACCTGGAGGAGGATGTGAGGCGGGTTACAGCAAGATTCAACGACTCGCATCTTGATATTTTCAACTTTGGCAAGTCGGTGCATGCGACGAATTCTGAGGCGCAACTTGCCCGACTTTATGACAGGGTATGTTCTCTTATTACACTATTACGGAAAAGGTACTTAGGTTTCGCATCTAGACATCTTTAAACTCCACCAAGGCCGTGCATGCTACCAACTGTGAGGCACTTAGAAGAGGGTGTTTTAAGGCTCAACATTTGACACCTTGACATGCAATGTCGACATCCATAGCACTCCTATGACGTACCATGCATCTCATGTGTTCAAACTGTCCTGTATCTCTTTGATGTCTTTGCAGGATACGGTGCTGACAGTTTCTCGCATATTCAAGAGTGACCTTAATGTTCCCCTCAACAACATCACGTATGATATGCCGGATATTCTGCGGAAACTTGTTGAAGGTGGTGCAAGTGGTGACACCAAGGTGCTATGAACGCAATGAAGGAAGGCAGGGTTGCTGTAAACAGCAACACATATGACATACTGATGTTCGTGTTTGAAGTACCATAGCGTTTCTCCAGAGCAATGTATTACTCCCTAGGGAATAATTTCCCAAAGCGATGTCATTGTAGTCACTCTTTAGTGAATTTCTTGCCATGTTCGATCCTTACGGAAATCTAGATTTTGCCTATATAGGTTACAGTATTGTCCGTGCTTCCCCATCCCACGCTTCCCCGTCACACCGATCACACGAACCCCAACCGCTGCCATATTGAGGTGTTCCGCTCGCATTCGCGGAAAGCGTGGTCTGCCACTTGATTGGTGCGTGCAGTTGGGGAGAAACATGTTGAATCGTCATATTTTGGATTTCGGGTTTGCTGTTTCACCAATCAGCTTCCAATATGCCCCCACTCAAGATCTGCAGGATGGTTCGAGGGACCACAGCGACATCATGGCTTGTGTGGACCAGCCACGAGAAGTATGACGAAGATCCCTGTGCTCACACACATCACTTCCACCACACCACACCACCATTCACCACGACGCAAGGATCTCCTTTGGCGAAGCCAGCGAAACATTGCGACAGCTCTTTCCGTCGCCTAGCGGCGACCAGTCCAGAGTACAATGTTTGGGATGGAAGGTCACGAGGAAAGCCACTTTTCTTGCGATTGGCCGAATTCGGATTGCGATAATTGGGGACCACAGATGCTGCAGATTTTTCAATCGGAGGATCGCGAATGGAACACGGGCGCTCCGCACTCAACCAATCACATTGTGACTAGGCCCAAAATCCATACCACCCCCCTCTAGCCTATCCAGTGCCCATACAGCCACACAATCACAGCTCAAGAAGAACTCGACTTCGAGTACTTGAACAGAAGTGGCTTGAGCCTAGCAGAAGCAGCAACTTAGCTCAACCATTCGACTTAGCACAGCTTTCCCGAGGCATCTATTATCTATAGCTAAAATGGCTGCTCTCGCGAACGCCGCTGTGCTGCCTTCCACCTTCGTCGGCCAGAGCGCTGAGCTCGCCGCCAAGGTGAACAATGTCGAGGCCCGCGTGACGATGAGGAAGACCGCCAAGGCGGCTTCCAGCAGCGCCTTCTACGGCCCCGACCGCAACCTGTTCCTGGGCCCGTTCTCCTCCCCCCCGTCGTACCTGACCGGCGAGTACCCCGGCGATTACGGCTGGGACACCGCGGGTCTGTCCGCCGACCCCGAGACCTTCGCCAAGAACCGCGAGCTGGAGGTGATCCACGCTCGCTGGGCTCTGCTCGGCGCGCTCGGCTGCCTCACTCCCGAGATCCTCGCCAATAACGGCGTGAGCTTCGGCGAGGCCGTGTGGTTCAAGGCCGGCGCTCAGATCTTCTCCGAGGGCGGCCTGGACTACCTCGGCAACCCCAGCCTGATCCACGCGCAGTCCATCCTGGCCATCTGGGCCACCCAGGTCATCCTCATGGGAGCCGTTGAGAGCTACCGCGTGGGTGGCCTCGAGGGCTTCCAGGAGGTGGAGGACCCCCTGTACCCCGGCGGTGCCTTCGACCCCCTGGGTCTGGCTGACGACCCCGATGCTCTTGCTGAGCTCAAGGTTAAGGAGCTAAAGAACGGCCGCCTCGCCATGGTGTCGATGTTCGGGTTCTTCGTGCAGGCGATCGTGACCGGCAAGGGTCCCCTGGAGAACCTCTCTGACCACCTGGCCGACCCCACCGTCAACAACGCCTGGGCTTACGCCACCAACTTCACGCCCGGCGCTTAGATCTAGTTTCTTAAAAACTTGTACATTCCTTTCTTTTCAATAATATATTGTCGTACAGCCTTTACACCATGGCAGTTGCACCTCATGTCAACGAACTCCCTAGAGACGCAAACCGCTATTGGGAGAACGGTAAGATAATCGCATCCGCTTAAAGCACAAAGATTACCTTTCATTATTCGCGTCGAGCTTGCCTCAGAAATTCGTTCAGCGAATTCCACGAGCAGGCCTAGACACTAATTATGCTCATGTAGATTCAGGATAGAGTTCTGACAGTTGCTAATCCCATAAATTTGCTTAAATGTTTTGTGTACCTCACTTCTGTCGCTCCGAGATCGTCTCACTGCCTGACTATTTGTGAAGTCAAAAGAGACGACCACAATAAAAAAGAAACGAGAAGAACAACAACTAGGATGCTGAAAGTGAATTACGACTGCAGCTCTGGAAAGAATCGTACATATTTGTTTTGTCTATCCGTTAGGAAACTTCAGTGAGGAATGTGGGAGCTAAACCATACATCAGTGTTAAGATTCGACAGCTGCGCGTTATGGTCACCCAAATTACAAGGGAGGTTATTTGACAATAGAGTATTTGACTGAGTTGTATGGTCGAATTTCATCAGAGAACAAGGGTAGAACAGCTGAGGCGCATAACTAGCGCCTTTGAGAGCATGTAACTAACGAGCACAGATGAGAGCATATTAGTAGCACATTCGGGAGCATATAACAAGCGCAGTTGAGAGTAAAAAATCACGCAGTTGAGAGAACTTAACTAGCGCAGGTGAGAGATATTAACTGGCGCAGTCGAGAGCATTCAACTTGTGCAGTTGAGAGCATTTAACTAGCGCAGATGAGAATTTAACATTCTAGTTACGCTGTCGGAATAAGAGTGTGCAGCGAACGAGTTCTGTAATCGAACAAAAATATATCATTAAGGAATGTACAGGTTTTTAAGAAACAAGATCTAAGCGCCGGGGGTGAAGTTGGTGGCGTAGGCCCAGGCGTTGTTGACGGTGGGGTCGGCCAGGTGGTCGGAGAGGTTCTCCAGAGGGCCCTTGCCGGTCACGATCGCCTGCACGAAGAACCCGAACATCGACACCATGGCGAGGCGGCCGTTCTTCAGCTCCTTAACCTTGAGCTCAGCAAGAGCATCGGGGTCGTCAGCAAGACCCAGGGGGTCGAAGGCACCGCCGGGGTACAGGGGGTCCTCCACCTCCTGGAAGCCCTCGAGGCCACCCACGCGGTAGCTCTCAACGGCTCCCATGAGGATGACCTGGGTGGCCCAGATGGCCAGGATGGACTGCGCGTGGATCAGGCTGGGGTTGCCGAGGTAGTCCAGGCCGCCCTCGGAGAAGATCTGAGCGCCGGCCTTGAACCACACGGCCTCGCCGAAGTTCACGCCGTTATTGGCGAGGAGCTCGGGAGTGAGGCAGCCGAGCGCGCCGAGAAGAGCCCAGCGAGCGTGGATGACCTATTAAAAAGGAAAAGAAAGAAAAAAACCGAAAGGACGGTGAATTCGGTCAGAACCGTGGAATAGTTAGCGTTGTAAAGCAGCGAAGGTAAGGACTTTATAGAGCTTGCTGATTACAGAAGTGAAACGTTTGAATGTGCAAGGTTCTATGAGCGATAATTGTTCATTCGGTAAAAACGCGTCTCATGTGTGTTGCTAGAGATGCCGGTAGTCTTACCTCCAGCTCGCGGTTCTTGGCGAACGTCTCGGGGTCAGCGGACAGACCCGCGGTGTCCCAGCCGTAGTCGCCGGGGTACTCGCCGGTGAGGTATGAGGGGGGGGAGCTGAAGGGGCCCAGGAACAGGTTGCGGTCGGGGCCGTAGAAGGCGCTGCTGGAAGCCGCCTTGGCGGTCTTCCTCATCGTCACGCGGGCCTCGACATTGTTCACCTTGGCGGCGAGCTCAGCGCTCTGGCCGACGAAGGTGGAGGGGAGCACAGCAGCGTTCGCCAGAGCAGCCATTTTAAGGACTGAAGGTGCCTCGAAACAGAAACTGTGGCTGAAGTGTTCCTGGGAATGGTGAACTAGAGAAGTTGATTTGTGATGAAAACCAAGATTGACGGTGAGTTTTGAAGGTGTTCTGCCAATGTAGCTGGTTTAGGAGACGTGAGGAAGTTGGATTCGGATAGGGTTGTGGGTGTTGGTCTAAGCGGTTTCTGATTGGCTGCCTATGATCGCGAACCGCGTGGCGGAAGCGTTTTTGGCATTCCAAAGCCACGAGAGGATCCCCCTTGGATGGATGCGTTGCGTGGTAACGAGATGCGAGTTTAGCCAATCGCGACGGGTTAGCTCGACTCGTGAAGTGCTTTTGTGGTGCGGTGCAAACGTACGATTTGTGGCTACTGTATGATTGCGAAGAGGCAGCGACGCTTGGCGCAGAATGTCATCCCAGATCGTGGGGATTTTTGTGTGTTGGCGAGGGCTTGTTGAGCAATGAGCACACGTTATCCCATGTCGACACGTCACCAACAGATCCAAAGCATTGAGTTTAGCGGATGAGCATTGAGCCAGTTCCAGTAAGCGAACAATTGTGTGAAACATCCCCGAGGTCAGTTAGTATACTACTGTTTCTATTGATCAAGCATTACTTCTTGAAGCCTGCCCTACTCAAGGCCTGTCTTAGACTCTACAGAAGATACAAAGATGACTACTCAGTACAATGGAATGCAATTTCAGGTGTCGAATAAACAGTTACTGCTGTGGCGGCCAGCCTAGTCTTCGTGGACACGTGCGGCTTCTTTCTTCGCAGAGAGAGCAAAAATGTCACATATCACCTCCAAGGGCAACCCCTTTGTCTCCGGGACCTTGAGAAAGACAAAGAGCCACGAGACCATGCTCATTGTGCAGAAGATGGCAAAGACGCCGGCAAGACCAAATCTTGCTTGAAGTAGAGGAAACGCCTGGCTGACACCAATGTTACACAGCCACATAGCAGCACCACACAGACCAATGCACAAGCCCCGAACAGGAGTGGGAAAAATCTCAGAGCAGATGATGTTGGGTATTGGCCCAAGACCCATTACGAATGCACAGCAAAATATTGTGACCCCTGCTAGCGAGCAGGCTGATTGCGCCAATCCTGGACCAAGAGAAGTCGACGAAAACACTAGAAGTGCCAAGGATGCTCCAATAACAGGGGTGGTGTATAGAAGAAGTTGCCTGCATAACAAAACGTATGGTTATAACTCAGCATGACACGAGTGAAAAGGCACATATCAGCACGGCATAGCACATACCTTCGACCCAAAGAATCCATGAGCAACATAGCTGCAAAGATGCAGGGCAGCATAAGGAAAGCTGTAATGCCACTTGCCAACATGGATGACGATTCCGCTGTCAATCCATAATTCTCCAAGACGCTAGCTCCAGAGGACATGAGAATTGTAGGGGTGTAATACAGCACCGCATTGATTCCACACGCCTGTGAATAGAAAATATCAGATCAGTTACGGAGAAAGATGATGAATTGATAGCTGATACCTTTTCCTACCTGCTTGCTTCACACCAGGTTCTTTTAGACTGCTGAATCCTCCTTCAGCACCCTCTGATTTTGATGGATGCACCATGGCCGGGCCTTCTGTGTCGCCCTCGAGAGGCGCCAATGAGTTTTGCTGACTGACAAGCACAGACACCTGAATACCATCATCAATAAGAAGTTGAGTAGAGTCGGACAAAGATTGCCCAATATTTTGCTGCAGGATGTAGACCCTCTTCATCTCATCGTGACTCTGGTTGTTTGGCTTTTCATCATATCCCTCCACCTGAGTAGAACCACCCTCAACTTGCCACATCAGCTGCCACCCTCCACCCAGTGACCCTGCTGTAGCTGTGGATGTCTGGTAACTGTTGTTCATGTCTAATGATGTCAACGAGGCCAAAGGCGGAACAGATGAAAAGACAGACTCCAAAACAGAAGACTGTCGCGAAAACTGCACGGAATTGTTGTCAGATGAACACGCAAGAAGTGGCGCTTGCAAGCTCTCAATATCAGAAGGAAGAACCGATTTCTCCTCCCCTGAAGAATTCTGGGATGGCCATGAGGATTGCATATTCTCGTTGTCTGTAGTGGCCATATCACTTGCTCTTTGAATGTTGTCCATCAGCGTAACTAAGTTGTCAACTGGAAGGCTTCCAGATACGAAAATGCTGGATGAACGCGAGGGTAGAGCAGCTTCTTCATTCTCAGTTGTATCTGCAGCTGGACAAGCCATCCACTCACAACTCGAGTCTGGCCCAATTAACTTGACAGGTGCGATTGAATCGTTGTTTTTGTTTAAAAAATCTTCATCCACGGGCTTAATGACCCATTCCTCCAAAGAGATGTCCCGAGAAAGTCCGAGGCCCTCGACCAATACAGCCAGCTCACCTGGCGAAAAACGCGTAAGATGAAGCTGATCACTGATATGTGTGAGCTTAGCAGGTAAGTGAGGACTCAGCTTACCCGAAACATCTTGAGAACCGCGAAGGTACTGCAGAACGAGTCGTGCTTCCGCCATTCTCCCCTTGCTTACAAGCCATCTAGGTGACTCGGAAAGCACAAGAAAAAGTGCTAAAATGTATAGAAGCGACGGTCCACATCTGAAATCAGGTGAAGGATTTCCACAGCTGAGTTGCGAACAGAACGAGATGAGAAAGCAAAGAGAGATTTCTTACTCGATTCCAAGAATGAGTCTCCAATCCGTGTGTGGGAATAGGGAAAGGAAAAAGGACACTGCATACGAAATGACCATAGCTCCGATCCCCATCAACTGAGGAAGCGTGGCCAGTTGCCCGCGGATTTCGGGTGGTGAGCATTCTGAAATGAAGATGGGAGCGACTGTGGCAAAGAATCCAATGCTGAGACCGACTAAGCTTCTGCCTGCGACAAGGTACTCCACGCTAGGGGGCCATCCGCTGATTGCAGCTCCTGAAACAAAGCACCTTCTTGAATATCGGTGCTGTATTCAAGCATATCACTATCCGAAGAGTCGCACCTTACCTGAAAAAAACGTGAAAGCCGCAATCGTAAGGACTGATTTCCTGCCGATTAAGTCCGCAAAACTTCCAGCGATTAGAGTACTGAGTACGGAACCTGCGTGTGTTCTCACATTGTCAGAATCAAAACGACTACAAGAGAGTGGAACCTAGACGAGCTACAAACCCAACAAGGATGCAGTCACAATCAATCCGACCGCAGTTGGAGATAGATGGAAATCAGGCACCACGTAGAGAAGTGACCCTGAGAAATCGGAGGAGCACGTCATTTACGAAAGCCAAGGTGTTTCGATAGCTTATAAGTGCGTTTCACGCACATGCTATCGCGGCATTGTCCCAGCCTTGGAGTCCATTACCAAGAGCGGCACAAAGTGCCACGAGAACAGCTCCAGATACCATGATCTGAGACTTCTAATCAGCCTCGCAAGCGTGAAGACTTCGTACGAAATGATGCTGCTCTTGGCAAAATCATCATCTTCACAAAACTCTTCAAGTTTTGGTCCGAGCAACCTTTTGTGGAGGCATTGGCCTACCTTCGGGTAAAATCATTCAAATGCCGAGGATGTTTCGACACAGTGTAAGATGCTCCAGCTGCGATAAATGTACAAAATTACGCCTTCACAATATATGATTGAACCTACTGATAACATTTATATCATTATGAAATTTGGTTGACATCAATTGCATGGTGATAATCATCTTCTAGTAGTACGTTGTGCAAGAAGAAAGATGTAACATGCAATTCGAAAGGCCACAGCAAATCCCAGTAGCACAAAAAGGTCAAACCACTTAGACTGCCCATACAAACCTGCAGCCTCTATAATCTGAAAGGGGACAAGGGGAGATGGATTAGGAAACCAAGATGAGCATTACTGTTACATACATACATACAGAGAAGCATGTGAGGTCAGATGTAAGAACCAGAGCAACAAGCATGGCCTTCAATGCTTGACACCACTCACCTGTGATCCTGTGCCTGCAAGCCCGAAGGTGGTGTCACTATGGCTCCCGTACTCGTTGATTATGAGAGCATCCAAGGGGTACTTGAAGACAGACAGGTAGTGCATCCAGATCCAGTACGAGGGGATGTACTGTCAAGGGGGGGGGGGGGAAAGGGACAGGGCATAACAAGAATGACAGTACTGGTGAGGTGCACTCCTGGAGGCGGTGTTGTTTGGCTTCCATGCTCGTTTATTATGAGAGCATCCAAGGAGTACTTGAAGACTGACAGGTAGTGCATCCAGATCCAGTACGAGGGGATGTACTGTTGGGGAGAGATGGGAAAGGGACGGGACATAATGGGAATGGCGCTGGTCAAGTGCACTCCTGAAGATGGTGTCGCTATGACTTCCGTACTCGTTATTTATGAGAGCATCCAAGGGGTACTTGAAGACAGACAGCTAGTGCATCCAGATCCAGTACGAGGGGTTGTATTGAAAAAAAAAAAGAAAAAGAAAAAAAAAAAGAATAAAATAAATGGACAAATGCGATGTAGCGGTCTCGCGTTATAAAAGTAAAGCCACAACATGAGTGCAGCAAAAGAACTTGAAAATTTGGGAAAATTCTTTAATTTCCTATATTTCAATGCCTTAGCCACTTACCTTCTTGGCAATGAAGTATCCGGAGAAGAGGAAGAATGCCCCCATAAGGCCAGCAATCATGGAGTTAGCCGTGATGAAGTCAGGTGCCATGGCCCTGAGACAAGGGAACGACCCACGTGCACAGGAGACAACACACATACACAGGAGGCATATAAACCATCAGGGATACAGGGGTGAAGGAACAAGCTCCCCATGAGACCAGCGATCAGGGAGTTAGATGTGATGAAATTAAGCACCATCGCTCTGACACAAGGGAACAACCACATGAGGAGTTAAACATGATGAAGTTAGGCGATGTGCTGTGAGCCGCGTATCCTCTTTAGGAAATACTTACGTGATGCAGGCGACTATGGCGTTGGCGACAATCAGAACCGCCCAGACGACAAGGAGGAAGAAGAGGAAGGCGGAGAGGGCAAGAGAAATTGATAATGAAGGGACACTGTTCTGAAGGGACTTATGCGATGCAGGCGACGATGGCATTAGCCACGAGGATAGTGAGGGGTTGGGTATGGTTTCCCGAGGGACTTACGCGATGCAGGCAACGATAGCGTTGGCGACGATCAGGACCACCCACACCACAAGGAGGAAGAAGAGGAAGGCGGAGAGGGAGGCGTGTAGGCCAACGAGGAGGTAGGCCGGGATGGAGTAGAGGAGAGCGAGGAGCAGGAGGAAGGGCAGAAACACCGCTACACTGTGAGAGGGGGAAAGAGGGAGCGGGGGGGAAGAGATGGGAGGAAACATGATGGCACGAGAATGTTCCTCCTGGCCTTGTATGTATTGAGGACAATGGATAAAGGGGGAAGGAGGAGGTTAAAGAAGAGGAAGGCGGAGAGGGAGGCGTGTAGGCCGACAAGGAGGTAGGCCGGGATGGAGTAGAGGAGAGCGAGGAGCAGGAGGAAGGGCAGAAACACCGCCACACTGCGAAGGAGGAAGAAAGAAAATGAGGGGGGGAGGGGGGAGGGGGGGGAAGGGATGGAATGAATGAGGATGCGTGGTGGATTTCCTCCCTGGTCTTGTGCGCATGGGGACAATGTCTAAACAGCTACGTGCACCAAAACGGCTTACTGTAACAGCTCACTCACCTGGCAATGGCATACGAAGATATGCGGTAGGCGCCTCTTGATGTTTCTCGGAGAAAGATTTGCCTCTCCTGTGCATGTGGGGATATGATTGAGGGAGCAGAGGAGTTGCTTCAGCACTGCATAGTGATTCAGTGTATGATGTTTAGGAAGGGAAGATTTGCCCCTCCTGTGCATGTGGCGATATGGATGAGCGAGCAGAGAAATACTTCAGCAATGCATAGTGAGGACAAACTTCTATGTGACAATGCCATATGTGGTTTATGGCATGAATGGGAGGCTTAAGGATCATGCCTGTATGCACATGCATGTATGCCTGAACCTACGGCAGGTGACGTAACCACATAAGAGATCGGTTTTTGGCACATGCCTCAAGAGACACAGGTAGGGCTTCCAAGTGAGCAGGAAGGCGAGGGTGAGGGCGCAGGGACAACTTTTGAGGCGCCTCAAAAGGAAGGCGAGGGTGAGGGCGCAGGGACAACTTTTGAGGCGCCTCAAAAGGAAGGCGAGGGTGAGGGCGCAGGGACAACTTTTGAGGCGCATCAAAAGGAAGGCGAGGGTGAGGGCGCAGGGACAACTTTTGAGGCGCCTCAAAAGGAAGGCGAGGGTGAGGGCGCAGGGACAACTTTTGAGGCGCCTCAAAAGGAAGGCGAGGGTGAGGGCGCAGGGACAACTTTTGAGGCGCCTCAAAAGGAAGGCGAGGGTGAGGGCGCAGGGACAACTTTTGAGGCGCCTCAAAAGGAAGGCGAGGGTGAGGGCGCAGGGACAACTTTTGAGGAGCCTCAAAAGGAAGGCGAGGGTGAGGGCGCAGGGACAACTTTTGAGGCGCCTCAAAAGGAAGGCGAGGGTGAGGGCGCAGGGACAACTTTAGAGGCGCCTCAAAAGGAAGGCGAGGGTGAGGGCGCAGGGACAACTTTTGAGGCGCCTCAAAAGGAAGGCGAGGGTGAGGGCGCAGGGACAACTTTTGAGGCGCCTCAAAAGGAAGGCGAGGGTGAGGGCGCAGGGACAACTTTTGAGGCGCCTCAAAAGGAAGGCGAGGGTGAGGGCGCAGGGACAACTTTTGAGGCGCCTCAAAAGGAAGGCGAGGGTGAGGGCGCAGGGACAACTTTTGAGGCGCCTCAAAAGGAAGGCGAGGGTGAGGGCGCAGGGACAACTTTTGAGGCGCCTCAAAAGGAAGGCGAGGGTGAGGGCGCAGGGACAACTTTTGAGGCGCCTCAAAAGGAAGGCGAGGGTGAGGGCGCAGGGACAACTTTTGAGGCGCCTCAAAAGGAAGGCGAGGGTGAGGGCGCAGGGACAACTTTTGAGGCGCCTCAAAAGGAAGGCGAGGGTGAGGGCGCAGGGACAACTTTTGAGGCGCCTCAAAAGGAAGGCGAGGGTGAGGGCGCAGGGACAACTTTTGAGGCGCCTCAAAAGGAAGGCGAGGGTGAGGGCGCAGGGACAACTTTTGAGGCGCCTCAAAAGGAAGGCGAGGGTGAGGGCGCAGGGACAACTTTTGAGGCGCCTCAAAAGGAAGGCGAGGGTGAGGGCGCAGGGACAACTTTTGAGGCGCCTCAAAAGGAAGGCGAGGGTGAGGGCGCAGGGACAACTTTTGAGGCGCCTCAAAAGGAAGGCGAGGGTGAGGGCGCAGGGACAACTTTTGAGGCGCCTCAAAAGGAAGGCGAGGGTGAGGGCGCAGGGACAACTTTTGAGGCGCCTCAAAAGGAAGGCGAGGTTGAGGGCGCAGGGACAACTTTTGAGGCGCCTCAAAAGGAAGGCGAGGGTGAGGGCGCAGGGACAACTTTTGAGGCGCCTCAAAAGGAACGCGAGGGTGAGGGCGCAGGGACAACTTTTGAGGCGCCTCAAAAGGAAGGCGAGGGTGAGGGCGCAGGGACAACTTTTGAGGCGCCTCAAAAGGAAGGCGAGGGTGAGGGCGCAGGGACAACTTTTGAGGCGCCTCAAAAGGAAGGCGAGGGTGAGGGCGCAGGGACAACTTTTGAGGCGCCTCAAAAGGAAGGCGAGGGTGAGGGCGCAGGGACAACTTTTGAGGCGCCTCAAAAGGAAGGCGAGGGTGAGGGCGCAGGGACAACTTTTGAGGCGCCTCAAAAGGAAGGCGAGGGTGAGGGCGCAGGGACAACTTTTGAGGCGCCTCAAAAGGAAGGCGAGGGTGAGGGCGCAGGGACAACTTTTGAGGCGCCTCAAAAGGAAGGCGAGGGTGAGGGCGCAGGGACAACTTTTGAGGCGCCTCAAAAGGAAGGCGAGGGTGAGGGCGCAGGGACAACTTTTGAGGCGCCTCAAAAGGAAGGCGAGGGTGAGGGCGCAGGGACAACTTTTGAGGCGCCTCAAAAGGAAGGCGAGGGTGAGGGCGCAGGGACAACTTTTGAGGCGCCTCAAAAGGAAGGCGAGGGTGAGGGCGCAGGGACAACTTTTGAGGCGCCTCAAAAGGAAGGCGAGGGTGAGGGCGCAGGGACAACTTTTGAGGCGCCTCAAAAGGAAGGCGAGGGTGAGGGCGCAGGGACAACTTTTGAGGCGCCTCAAAAGGAAGGCGAGGGTGAGGGCGCAGGGACAACTTTTGAGGCGCCTCAAAAGGAAGGCGAGGGTGAGGGCGCAGGGACAACTTTTGAGGCGCCTCAAAAGGAAGGCGAGGTTGAGGGCGCAGGGACAACTTTTGAGGCGCCTCAAAAGGAAGGCGAAGGTGAGGGCGCAGGGACAACTTTTGAGGCGCCTCAAAAGGAACGCGAGGGTGAGGGCGCAGGGACAACTTTTGAGGCGCCTCAAAAGGAAGGCGAGGGTGAGGGCGCAGGGACAACTTTTGAGGCGCCTCAAAAGGAAGGCGAGGGTGAGGGCGCAGGGACAACTTTTGAGGCGCCTCAAAAGGAAGGCGAGGGTGAGGGCGCAGGGACAACTTTTGAGGCGCCTCAAAAGGAAGGCGAGGGTGAGGGCGCAGGGACAACTTTTGAGGCGCCTCAAAAGGAAGGCGAGGGTGAGGGCGCAGGGACAACTTTTGAGGCGCCTCAAAAGGAAGGCGAGGGTGAGGGCGCAGGGACAACTTTTGAGGCGCCTCAAAAGGAAGGCGAGGGTGAGGGCGCAGGGACAACTTTTGAGGCGCCTCAAAAGGAAGGCGAGGGTGAGGGCGCAGGGACAACTTTTGAGGCGCCTCAAAAGGAAGGCGAGGGTGAGGGCGCAGGGACAACTTTTGAGGCGCCTCAAAAGGAAGGCGAGGGTGAGGGCGCAGGGACAACTTTTCAGGCGCCTCAAAAGGAAGGCGAGGGTGAGGGCGCAGGGACAACTTTTGAGGCGCCTCAAAAGGAAGGCGAGGGTTAGGGGGCAGGGACATATGTGCATGTGGCTTATGGCATGTGAGCATGTATGCATTCGATTCATGTCATGTGTCGACAAGTTCTTGCCTCAAGAAACACAGGTAGGGCTTCCACAGATGATGTGAGCAGAAAGGCGAGTGAGAACGCAAAGAAACCCATGCGCTCCTGAGAGGGAAGCACAGAAACCCATGCACAGGGGGGAATACAGGGAGGGCAGGGGAAAGAGAGCAAGGGATCAGGTAAAGAACCTGGATGAGCGAGGATGGGTTGAGCGAGGTGAGAGAAGGCAAAGAGCCTTATGTGCTATCAGGTAGGGCCTACCATCCCCCCCTCCCCTTCTTCCCCTATTGGCCTCATACATTTCCTCCCTCCTGTACTCCCTTCCCTCTTCACCTCGATCCCCTAGGGCAAAGGACGAGCGTTACCAGGCATGCAGCAGTGAAGGCGACCTGAGATGTCCCTTGTGTAAAAAGAAGTGTTTTGAGACGTCTCAAAACACTTGCTTTCCTTTGCTTCTAACACTCTTCCTAGTCTCCGATTCCCTACCCCCTCCTCACCTCTATGCCCTGGGGGTTCGACGGCAAGTGAAGGGAGAGCCCCCGGGCAGAGAGCAAAGTGAAGGCGCACCCCCTGCTTGCATCTGCTTCGAACACTCTCCCGTAGCTTTCAATTCCCTACCTCTAGTCCTACCCCCTCCTCACCTCTATCCCCTGCGGGTTGGACGGCAGGCGAAGGAAGAGAGTTCCCAAGCAGAGAGCAGTGAAGGCGACCTGAGACGCCCTCCCCCCCTCCATCCTACGGTCTTCATCACGTCGACGCCCTTCCAATATCTTGCACTCCTCACCTCACCCCTTCCCCAACCCCTCCTCACCTCTATCCCTTGAGGGTTGGACGGCAGGCGAAGGAAGAGAGTTCCCAGGCAGAGAGCAGTGAAGGCGACCTGAGACGTCCCTTGCTTACCTCTGGTTCTAGCCAACTCCCCAGTTTCCACTTCCCTTCCCCCTCCTCACCTCTATCCCCTGCGGGTTGGACGGCAGGCGAAGGAAGAGAGTTCCCAGGCAGAGATCAGTGAAAGGCGACCTGACACGCCCTCCCTCTTCCTATTTATGCTCTTGCAATCCCTTGCAAGTACCCCATCCCCTCCTCACCTCTATCCCCTGAGGGTTGGACGGCAGGCGAAGGAAGAGAGTCCCCAAGCAGAGGGCAGTGAAGGCGACCTGAGACGCCCTGCCCAGGCAGAGCTCTGGGGTCCTGGCCATGTTCTGAGGAGGTGGGGTAGGGCGGGGGGGAATGAAGAGGTTGTTTGGACGGTGATCGGCAGCATTGAAGGCGACCTGAGACGCCCTCCCCAGGCAGAGCTCAGGCGTCCTGGCCATGTTTGATGTAAACATGTTCTGGCCATGTTCTGGTGTAAGTAACGTACTGGGGCAGAAGTGAAGAGGAAGCACTGGGTAAGGAGGGAAGGAGGGAGAAGCTCTCTTCTCTGTATGCTACCACTAGCCAATGGGAGGGCAGGAAATTACCTTGAAGTTGCGGCAGCTGAGCCACCAGATCTCATGCAGGGGCGATGTAAGTAATGTACTGGGGCAGAAGTGAAGAGGAAGCACTGGGTACGGAGGGAAGGAGCGAGGAGTAGCACTCTTCTCTATATGCTACCATTGCCCAATGGGCGGGCAGGAAATTGCCTTGAAGTTGCGGCAGCTGAGCCACCAGATCTCATGCAGGGGCGATGTAAGTAATGTACTGGGGCAGAAGTGAAGAGGAAGCACTGGGTACGGAGGGAAGGAGCGAGGAGTAGCACTCTTCTCTATATGCTACCATTGCCCAATGGGCGGGCAGGAAATTGCCTTGAAGTTGCGGCAGCTGAGCCACCAGATCTCATGCAGGGGCGATGTAAGTAATGTACTGGGGCAGAAGTGAAGAGGAAGCACTGGGTACGGAGGGAAGGAGGGAGGAGTAGCACTCTTCTCTATATGCTACCATTGCCCAATGGGCGGGCAGGAAATTGCCTTGAAGTTGCGGCAGCTGAGCCACCAGATCTCATGCAGGGGCGATGTAAGTAATGTACTGGGGCAGAAGTGAAGAGGAAGCACTGGGTACGGAGGGAAGGAGGGAGGAGTAGCACTCTTCTCTATATGCTACCATTGCCCAATGGGCGGGCAGGAAATTGCCTTGAAGTTGCGATAGCTGAGCCACCAGATCTCGTGCAGGGGTGATGTAGCGTACTGGGGAAGGAGGGGAGGAGAAGCACTATCCAGTTTGCTACCACTCCCCCATGGGACGGCAGGGAAGAGAAGGAGATGGGTTGGGAGGGAGGGAACGTACCTTGAAGTTGCGGCAGCTGAGCCACCAGATCTCGTGCAGGGGTGATGTGGCGTACTGGGGAAGGAGGGACGAAGCTTCGCTCCCCCCATCGCTGCTCCCATCACTGCTGCTGCTACCGCTGTCGCTCTCACTTCCACTGCCACTACAGCTGCTGCTGCTGCTGCCACTTCTGTTGCCGCGGATCGAGATTGGAACATCTTGGAACGGTGATGATGGTGGGGAGGAGGACGGCGTGGGTGATGAGGATAGGGGAAGCTCGTGAAAAGCATGGCCTTCGGTAGGATTATCGACGAGACCTGTATCGCCCCCAGCACCAGCAGCGCCAGCGGTAGCGGCACCAGTATTGGTTTCGCCATGGAAATATACGTCCGCATCTGCTGCTGCTGCTTGCTGCTGCTGCTGCAGGCGCTTCCACAGCGCACTGCCGCTTGACTGTTGGGAAGTGGAAGTGGAAGTAGAGGAGGCACAGTGATGGAGAAAGAGTTGATTTTTGACTAGCGACTCCACATTTGCTGCTGCTTGCTGCTGCTACTGCTGCAGGCGCTTCCACAGCACACTGCCGCTTGACTGTTGGGAAGTGGAAGTGGAAGTAGAGGAGGCACAGTGATGGAGAAAGAGTTGAATTTGCAAGCAACTCGTGGAGCCAGCAGCAGCAAGGCGGGCCTCCAGGAGGGAGAGAGGGCCGCAGTAAACCACAGACAGTTGAGCAAATTAATCCCCACGAGAACAAAAACAGGGAGAACAGAGGATACGAAAGCAACTCACATCACTCCCATGCCTTCCATGGTGTATTCAAGAGCGTAGACTCGCATGGGAACAGTGCAGCCAGCAGCAGCAAGGCGAGCCTCGAGCAGGGAGAGAGGAGCGAAGTGAACCCGAGGGTTGAGGCAAGTGAACCCCACCGAGAACAGAAAGGAGAGAGTGACAAGGCAACTCACCCCCATGCCCTCCATGGCATATTCAAGAGCGTTGACTCGCATGGGAACAGTGCAGCCAGCAACAGCAAGGCGAGCCTCGAGCAGGGAGAGAGGGCCGCAGTGAATCACGGAGCCCCGGGAGAGCAGCAGGAGGGAGTCGATGAGTTCAAGCATGCGGAAGCTGGGCTGCGAGGAGGCGAGGGAAGGAGGGGAGAAGGGGGGAAAGGCTGCTTGCTCAAGTAGTTAAGCAGGGAGAGAGGGCCGCAGTGGACCACAGAGCCCAGGGAGAGCAGCAGATAAGTCGATGCGGGGGCGTAGGAGGGGTGAGGGGTGAGGGAGCAGCAGTTGAGCATGCGGAAGCTGGGCTGTGAGGGGGCGTAGGAGGGGTGTGCAAAGGGGGACAGGAAAGATGGCAATGCAAGGATTGAGGGGTGTGTGTTCTGGCGGCGGCGGCGGCAGCAGCAGCAGCAGCAGCAAGGCAGGCGTCATCAAGCAGGGAGAGAGGATCGCAGCAGGGAGGTAGACGATGAGCTCAAGCATGCGGAAGCTGGGATGAGAGGGGGAGAGAGCGGGTGGAAAGAGTTTGGAGGAAAAGGGGCGACATAGGGGTGGAGAGTGGTGAAGAGCAGCAGGAGCGAATCTTTGAGCTCAAGGATGCGGAGCGGAGGAAGGGGAGTTTGAAGGGGTGTGCGAAGGGGGACAGGAAAGATGGAATTGCAAGGATTGAGGGGGTGTGTGTTCCGGCAGCAGCAGCAGCAGCAGCAGCAAGACAGGCGTCAAGCAGGGAGAGAGGGCCGCAGTGAACCATGAGAGCTTGAGCTCATCGCCTCTCTCCTGCTGTGCCAAAGGGGCTGGTGGTTCTCTCACTCACTCCGCCCACCTCTACCCCCTCTTCCCATACTCACTCTCTTCTTCCCCTTCTCTTCCTCAACCCATTCTTTATCGTAACCCATCTTCCTCTACTTGATCTCACTTGCCCTCCTTACCTGGTGTATGGACAGCACAACAGTCCTTCCCCCTTCCTTAGCCATGCCTCCCAGCACGCCCAGCACGTTGGCAACAGCAGCCCCCATCTTGTCTCCTCTTCCCCCGCTCACCTGGTGTATGGACAGCACAACTGTCCTTCCCCCTTCCTTGGCCATGCCTCCCAGCACGCCCAGCACGTTGGCAACAGCAGCCCCCATCTTGTCTCCTCTTCCCCCGCTCACCTGGTGTATGGACAGCACAACTGTCCTTCCCCCTTCCTTAGCCATGCCTCCCAGCACGCCCAGCACGTTGGCAACAGCAGCCCCCATCTTGTCTCCTCTTCCCCCGCTCACCTGGTGTATGGACAGCACAACTGTCCTTCCCCCTTCCTTAGCCATGCCTCCCAGCACGCCCAGCACGTTGGCAACAGCAGCCCCCATCTTGTCTCCTCTTCCCCCGCTCACCTGGTGTATGGACAGCACAACTGTCCTTCCCCCTTCCTTGGCCATGCCTCTCAGCACGCCCAGCACGTTGGCAGCAGCAGCGCTGTCCAGCCCAGCCCACTGGTGGGTTCGTCCAGCAGCACCACTCAGTCAGTCACTCACTCCTCCTCTCCCTTCCTCTTCCCATTCTTCTCTCCTCTTCCCCATTTTCTTTCCCAACCCATTTCCTACCAAGCCTTGTCTTCCTCTACTCGATCTCCCTTGCCCCTGTCTCTCCCCAACTCACCTGATGTATCGACAATACGACTGTCCTTCCCCCTTCTTTCGCCATGCCTCTCAGCACGCCCAGCACGTTGGCAGCAGCAGCGCTGTCCAGCCCACTGGTGGGTTCGTCCAGCAGCACCACTGCCGGGTTGTGCACCAAGTCGACACCAATGGACACCCTCCTTCGCTCTCCGCCTGACAGCCCCCTCCCTCTGCTGCTGCCGGCACTTGTGCTGCCGATCCTTGTGTGGGCGACAGCCTGGGCCAGGCCAGGGCAGAGGGGGAGGAGTGGGAGGAGGGATGAGGGTAAGACAGAAGAACGAGTAAAAAGGGGAGGAAATGGGATTGTTGTTGTGCGTGCAGCCCAGCCCACTGGTGGGTTCATCCAGCAGCACCACTGCCGGGTTGTGCACCAACTCCATTCCTATGGATACACGCCTCCTCTCTCCACCGGATAGCCCCCTCCCCTGCTGCTGCCGGCGCTGGTACTGCCGATTCTGGTGTGGGCAACAGTTTGGGGTGGGGAGGGGACAGAAGGGGGGTCGGGGGTATGCAGTCAGGAGGAGATAGGAGCAAAAAGTGGAAAGCAGGGAATGAGTCGGCGAGCGGCAGGCAGGATGCCAGGCAGAGATGAGCCGAGAAGAGGAGCAGCTGTATTTGAGGCAGCCTAAAGCCATGAGCAGCAACATTCACATGTGCGAGAGGTAAGCAATATGCGTGTGGAGCAATAATCAGTTCATTACCTGTAAACCAAGAGTGGCGAGTAGAGCGTCAACGCGGGCGAGCTTGTCGGCGAGGGGCAGGGAGGAGGGCAAGCGGAGATGAGCCGAGAAGAGGAGCGACTCGCGTGGAGTGAGGTGAGGGAAGAGCGCGTCGTCCTGCTGCACGTAGCCTGGATGGTGGGGGATGAGGGGACGAAATGGGGAGGAAAAGTGAGGAGGAGGTGGAATCAAGGGGAGTGAGAGAGGTTGAGTAATGTCTCCATCTGCTGAGGAAGAGCGCATCGTCGTGCTGCACGTAGCCTGGGTGATGGGGTGGGGGAAAGGGAGGGGAGGCGGGGGGATTAAGAGATGAGGGCAGGCATTGATGGGCTGAGAAGAGGAGCGACTCGCGAGGAGTGAGGTGGGGGAAGAGCGCATCGTCCTGCTGCACGTAGCCTGGGCGGGCGGTGGGATGGGGAGGAGAGGAGGTGAGGACAAGGTGGAAAAGGCAAGGGGAAACGAGCAATGTATGCATGTCTCAATGCGCTGAAGGAGGTGAGGGAAGAGCGCAGCATCCTGTTGCACGCAAACTGGGTAGTTGGAAGGATTCAGCACCGTTTTGCAACTGAACACCCACCTGAGATACGCCTGAGTTCGCCTGCGCTCATGCGCTGCCCGTTCACCAAGATGCTTCCTCGAAGTCTCCCCCCCTGAATCCGCCCTCCGATGCAGTCCAGCAGCGTTGATTTGCCCGCCCCACTCGGCCCCGCCACTGCCAGCACCTGCCCTGGCCTCGCCACTGCACTCACGCCCACCAGCAGTGGGAGGAACTCTGCAGGCGCGTGGGGAGACGAAGCAGAAGCAGCAGCACCATCACCACCACCACCGAAACCGCTGTTAGGAGTCAGACCACCAGCAGCACCAATAGCAGCACCAGGAACTTCAGGAGCATCAGCAGCAGGAGCAGTTTTGGTAGTAGCTGGTATGAATGGCACCCACTTGGAGAGTGACTGGGCGATATAATCAAGGGAGGAGGACGCAGGTGCGGGGATGGAGTAGGAAAGCTGGTCGATCGCAATAGTGTAACATGCGCTGGTGGTAACCGTACTCTGCACATGGGCGTCCCACGTCTTGCTGGGGATAGCCTTCTTTAACCCTCCTCCCATGCTGCTGCTGCTGATCTTGCTTTTGCTGGACTTGCTGCTACTGCTGTTGCTGCTGCTGGTGGTGCTCCTGCTGGTGCTGGTGCCACTGGTGCCAGTGCTACCAGAACCGCCTGTATCACTTGAGTCGCTCTCTGTGCTCTTGTTGCTGCTGCTCCGGTGCTGTTCTGATAGCCCTCCGATTCGAATCTCGTTCTCAAGATCCCTGCCACCAAAGCTGATACCAACACTGCCAGCACCAACACTGCTAGCACCATATTCAGGGAGCGGCAAAAACGATCCTCCTTTCCATGCACTTGCTTCGACCACAGACATTCGATCCCCAGGAGCAAAGAATTCAATTGTCTGACCGCCATGCCTTGCAAATTGGTCGCCAGGCTGATAGCGGTGACTACTATAACGAGAATGACTGGCACAGCTGCTCCCGACCTCCGCCTTTCTTAGAGCCAATTGCCTTCCCTTATCCGTCCCTCCTCTGTCACGTAAGGGGGCATTCGACCCATCATACGAGCAGCTTGGTACGTTGTTCACTGCTGAAGCAGCAGACGCCCGGGTCCTCGCTTTCCTTAGGGCCTCCACGTCAAGCGCGCACACTGATGACATGGCACCACGTCAGCGCTGATATGAGGAGCAGCGCACGACCGAAGGATTCAAACGAGCGTGATTTGCCAGTCCCGTCTGGCTGACAGTTTTCCACGTTTTGAGACGTCTGAAAACTTGAGGATTCAAACGAGCGCGGTGTGACAGTAGCGACTGGCTGACTTTTTTCACCCTCAACAGACGGTCAGTTAGTTGGACGTTGAATGAGGGGAGAGTGAGGGGAGAGTCGAGCACAGCGGATGCAAATTAACTATTAGCTGAGCAAGAAGCGCGCAGAAAACAGCTCGGTAGAGAAATTGTCGTGCCAATCAACTTCTCATAAAATCGCTGGGAGATACAGGGATGGGTAGTGGTACGAAGCGAGGCACCAGACAGGCCAACCAGCAGCAGCAGTAAACAACCAGCGGCCGTGGAAAATGAGGATCGAGAATGACGGCTGCAAGATTTGCAAGAATGAGTGTATAGAGAGCGTGGATTCTGCTCTTATGACGACGTAAGGGCACAGAATGAGTGAGTCCGTCAGCCTCTTACTAGGTTCGCGGCAGCGACGTTCCAGGGTGTGCGACGTCTAAGCTCTGAGCTGGCGACTACCCCGTGCGACACAAACTGAAAACGACGACGACGTCGTCTGCGACTGTTAATCGGAAACGGCACGCGATAACGACGGGAAAGGGGCTGGGGGAAGAGGCGCGACGATTTAATCAGGAAGCGATGGAATGGCTGCAATGGAGAAGAGCCATCGCGACTACTATCAATTCGCTGGCACGGCCTGATTGGCTGCGTAGCCATTGTGAAAACGAAGGACGTAATTCGGTCAGTTGGAAAAGTGCAATCGGTATGGGGGGGGATGGAATCGCAGGCTGTGTGTGAGAGCGAATGCGATGACGAGCTGTCACGAGCCGTCACGGCGACGAGCGACCAGCATGCGACGCAATCGCAATCGCACGTGTCAATCGCCGGCGACAACCGCAGGACAGTAAAGCGAACCCGAAAACTGCCGACCAGCACGAATGAAAAAATCAACGAAGCGAGAAGGGCGGTCAAAAGAAAACGATTAGTGGTCAGCGACCCAGCGGTCACTGATTAGGACTAGAAAGTGACCTGTGACGGCAGGGCGTGACAAGCAAGGCCTTCTGTCTACCGAAAAGAATCTAGCAACGAGTCATCTTCGCTTCAGTCTAGTTGTCGGAAAAGGAAATGGGAGAATCCATCTGAATCTTGGACTGATGGAGATGGCGACATTCCCAAGCAGATTCTCGCTGATGGTGACTTCGAGGCAGGGAGAATGCTGGTGTCCTTAACTGTACTGCATCGCACGATATCTTTCTGAAAAATACCCGCAACGTTTTGCATCCCCGCAATTCCGTAATTTCTTTTAGGTGGACCGCATCCTCACTACAATACCGTCGCCTTCTGACACAGCGGTGTTTTCGAGGCGTGAGTTTTGGTAACGGAGGCTGATGACTTCATTCACAACATCCTGATGTCATGTTGAAAGCTACCTAGCACACTCTGAATAAAAACTGCTAGAATATGTCTAGCCAAAGAATAAGACGGATATGAAACTCATTTCAATGTAACCCTTGATTTGGACATGACATAATGAACTGAAGGTACACGTTACAACAGGTCCAGCAATACATGGTACAACAGTCTCAACCATTCATCCGGCGGGCCAGGCAGGCAATAATGCAGGCAATCCCGAGGGGGTTCCTGATGCCCATCTGGTCTCCCCGCAGTCATGGGTACAATATCCATAAACACCCCTCCCACAGACTCTACCAACTTCCTCGCCTCCTCATTCTGTTCTGCGAAATCACCCCAATGGTAAGGCATTTCCGAGGGATCCGAGGTTCCAATTGACGGCACAGAATCTCTTGTACAGTTTTTATGCCCCGTGGCAGTGCTCCTGTAGATTATAAGGACATCGGGTGCAGCTGCTCTAACTGTAGTTAACGTATCATTGAGCTCCGCAATAAATAGGGGTGTTTCTACCCAGTGGGCCCCTCGGTTGAGCACAAGAACCGAAATGGGAGGAAATGGGTCATCCTTGGGAGATGCTTATAGCTTCCTGAACTGCCGTTGAAAATACTGCCAATACGTGCGTCCCCTCCCATTTTCGCTGGTAACCGTGTCGTTAATGGCAGAAGCTTGTGAGGTCATGGAAAACGGCCAGCCAAACAGTCTCCGCTGCACCACCTGTTTCTGCTCTCCCTCCCCTTTCTCCAGCAGCCGTCTCCTCTTCTCCTCCTCCCTTCTCTTCTCCTGCTCTTGCCTCCGTTTCTCCCTCACTTCCTCCCCCTTTACAATCACATCAAACCACGGCACAGAAATACGTTTTGGAAGCTTAACATAAAGCTTCAGGCCAGTGCTCATCACATCGTCTCGCACGTATATGAACTTGGTTCGACCCAGTGCAACCGCAGTGCACAGAAGCAGATACGGCCGTTGCTGGAGCAGCCTGTTCTTGGTGCGTCCTTTGCAGAAAGCAGGAGTGAATTCAACCGGTTCGAGTTTATTCCCGGCTGCTTTGCCGCCATTCTGCTTCTCCTGCTGCTCCCCTTGCTGCACATTTCCGGGCATCAACGCCTGCCTAAAATGATTCTTCAGGGACTTGAACAACATTGCGTTTATCGAATCTCCCACTATAAACACATTCAACCCCTCCAATTTCTCCTCAAGTTTCCCCTTGTCCAACTCTCCCCACTCCCCACACTGCTCTTCAGGAACCCACTTATACTTCACCGTATCCCTGACTTTCCATTTCTCTGCCGAACCTCCTGCCAAAGCTATGTCATCTGCTTCCCTAAAGGCGACGTTCTTATAACGGGAGTTGTTCTGCCCAGGGTCGCTCCTCCATCTATCGTCACACTCCCAACCCGCACTGACCGCGTGAGGTTGCGACCAGGGGAGGGTGCGGGGAGTGGGGTCCAGCTGCCACGTGGCGTTCATTGATAGGCATGCGAGGCGGGACTGAAACGCGAGAAGCTGATTGGCTGAGGTGACGCGTGAACCGGGGATGAGTGGAAGGGATGGGATGGGGGACATGGGAGGATCCGCCGTTGGGGGAATCAAATCAGGCTTCACATGAGATTGCGGCGAATCATTAGGGTTAGCAGCAATAGTTGAGATCAGATCTTCTGGTGATACTACTAGCACCTGAGGCGTGCTAGTGGCGGTAGTCGCATTGGAATCTTGCAACACTACCTGAGAGCTGATGCTAGGGGCAGAGGCGCTGCTGCTGCTAGTGGCAGCGACGCTCATAGGGGCAGCAGTGCTGCTGCTGGGGACAGGGCCGCTGATGCTAGGGGCAGCGATGCTGCTAGGGGCAGCTGCTGTGCTGCTGCTAAGGGCAGTAGCGCTGCTGCTAAGCTTGCTGCTGCTGCTGGTGTCAAGCTTGATGCTGCTGCTGCTGCTGGTGGTGGTATCAAGGGTGTTGCTGCTGGTGCCAAGGGTGCTGCTGGTGGTATCAAGGGTGCTGCTGCTGGTGTCAGGTACTACTACTGGACTTTGCAACGAACTATTATTGGTGGAGCCAGGAACTGACTCGGGAAACGCATCAGGCGAACCTGCGGGTGCTGACGCGGTAACCATCGGCATCGTAACCATAGAGGTGGTAATCGCAGAGGTGCTGGTAACCATAGGCATGGTAACCGCATCTGAAGGAGCCAGCAGCTGCCAGGGTTGGGGAGAGGGGTGGGAGAGGAGTCCATAATAGAGAGACAGCAGAGTGAGAAAAAGGGCCACTTCTAGCACGAGCGGGCAGCGGAAAAGGTTATTACTGCCCGAGGCTTCAGCCGCCATTTGCGATCAATCTGGCTGGATCCGGTGTGGTTCGCGAATTCGGATCAGCTCCTTTACGCCATTTCTAGGAAACCATGTTTCCGGAAATAACGGCTGAATTACCAATTCCGCCACGCTAGGACTAAATTCTCATCTTACGCCTCTTCCCCCTAAGCAAATCCGTCTCTTCCGCTAAACAAAAATTAAAGAATAATCTGGGCCCGATTGCTGGATCAGATCATCGTTGCACTCCGTCGGACTTCATTAGATTATCCCGTTTTGCGCTCGCGATCCCTGGTCTAGATCCGTTGCGTAACGAGGGTGGGTATGTATTAGGTAGCACTGACAGTAGGCCGCCTGGGTAAATGTACAGTACGGTGTTGTCGGCTCTATTGCATCTGCAGGAAGCAAAGTTACCAGAGGAACATGATCAGTTTTGTAACCGTCAAAGGCGGACGACTTACAGGGCAGGACATAACCATCACACACAATTCGCAACGTGACTCCTTTTAAGGCAGTTTGTTCGCTTGTGCGCTTTGAACCGCGACGCACCTCTTTGAACATTGATTACTCTACCTGAAGCGGTACAAACTGCGACGAACGAATTTCGTCGAACACCACCCTGCAGCACAACCAACGGTTCGCATTGCTTCGCAAGAAAGCTCCACAGTTTGAAACAAAACAGTTCAAAACTGCAGGACACTGCATACACCCCCCCAAAACAGCCCAATCCTCCCCCTCTGGTGCTCTATTTTCCCGCCTTTTCATTTCCCTGCTCTGACAGAGAAGAAGGTCCGTGATAGGACGTATGGTGGTGAGCTGTTATTGAGTGTTCGCTCCGTTCAAGCAACTTCCAGCAACCTGTATCGCTAACGTTCTTCACATGCAGGTGGAGCCATGAAGCGAGAAACATGGAGATTTTATGGCGGATGTCTATTTTGAGTTACGCATGTTTCTGACGATCTCCAGTTTGCATTAATATCAGATCGCATTCCAGGAACTCGATCTGATTTTCCAGAAATGCTATCTCCAAGGAAACTGCGGGAAACGAGATCCAGCAATGGCGTTTGACAGAAAGCAGGATATGCACGTCCGGAGCCAGGGATCAGCGAAAGCATCCCCATTGCACCGTCCGCGTGACCCTTCCCCAGTGCATCAGCATGTTCCAAGTCGTCCGTATCCTTCATTTGCCCCCCATTCGGCATCAAGACCAGGCATTCACAATCATCCAGCTCCAGTTCATTCTCATACCGACCTCCCTCGGCAACATTCGGATGTGCGAAGATCGCAGCAGCTGGAAAGGGTTCGGGAAGCTGCAAGAAGCCGGACATGCAGCCAGCTCCATCAGTCCGTCGGTTTACAACAAGGACAGCATCTGACGCATCAGCGTGACATTTCCAGGAAATCGGACCCTGGCAGATCACCTTTTGAAGTAAAAACGCCCAAATCGACCGATCTCAATGAAGTGGGTAATCATCTAGGGTGCCGTGCTGGTCTGTCAGCTTTTGGTCGTCCTCCGAGTAGATTTTCAAGAGATGAAGCAGCAGTTGCTATTCAGGCGGCGTGGAGGGGCCATCAGGTGCGAGCGTCGAAACCTCTGGAAGTGGGTAAGACCATTCTGGAGCTTCGGAAGCTGGCTCGGGACATGGAGGAGAGGCTTGATGATAAGGACTTTGTAGAGAAGGTCACGTCCGACCCTCGCGAGAAGCTTCGGGCAACGGAGACGATTATGTGCTGGTTGCTTCGGCTGGACGAGGTACAGTCGCCGAACCAAGAGGTCCGGGCTATGAGAAAAGACATGGCTCGGAGATTGAATGAGCTACTGGACAGAGTGGAATCTCTGGGAGCTGTTAAAGAAGCAGCTCCAAGCGCGAACGACACAAGAAGTGTTAGATCGGGTGATCCTCCTTGTGGAAGCTTTATGGGGCTTGTCAGATTCGATGACACTGCCTCTGCAAAAACCCTCCCGGAGCAGGCTCAAGCATTCCCTGAAAATGCTATGGACAGGGATATTGAGAGATCGGAATGTGCTCTTTCTTCGGGAGGAGCGGATTGTGCACTTTCTCCAAATTCAAGCATGAAAGAAGGCAGGTACAAGCGCAAGAGCGTTGGCAGCAGTATTGACGCTGGTGGTGGGAAGGCTGAGGGGGGAAATGGTGATGAGGGTGGTAGGACAGCTAAGAGGAGGAAGCGGAGGACTTGGAGGGACATACTGTGGCGGTGGAAGGAGAGCTTAGGTGGCCTCTGTGGTCGGCGCAAGGATTTTGATGTTTAGTTGTTACGGTATTGCTAGCAGGGTACTAGAGCCACTTTGGGCTATGGTACCATAGTCTGTAGGCTGTAGTGGAGGAGCTTTGGCAGCCAGCCAACAGTGGTGGTGGAAGGAGAGAATAGGTGGCCTTTGTGGCCCATGGCCTCTCTAGGCTTGCATCAGTACAAGCTTTGTAAGCCAGGCAGGTCTATGCTATTGCGTGCTTTGGATGCAATGGGAAAAGCATTCGGTTGACTTCGAAGTGCAAGTGGACAGCAAAGGTGCTTGCTTGCATTGCATCCCATTGATGTGCCTTTCACATGCTGGAGTACAATAAATGGCTGTCGTGCCATGCCATAGTCTGTAGACAAAAGTCTTTTCAGCTACCAGTACCGGGTACCACAGATTAAAGCACACCCATAGCCCTGTGTTCCACGAGGCACTACTGTAATCTACCCCCCATCTACCCTCGTGTACCATCTTGCAAAAAACAATGCACTCGATTGTGAAAGAAAAGGCATGATCATACCGTACCATGAATTTGCGCAACTTAGTATTCATTCATTGCTACAACTCATGATTAATGAAGGGGTGATGCAGGTGGTGGTGGTGGCAGAAGTCGTATGAGTGCATTGTACAGGAACTGTACATATACATCTAAAGGGCCGGGGAAACAGTAATGCAGGCAGTCTGTTTTATTCCTGTTTGGCATAAAAGCGTTATGCCCGTCTGCTCTCAACCCCACCATTTCCTCCACATCCAAATACACCCCTCCAACCTGCTCCACCAACTCTTTAGCCACTCGATTTTGCTTGGGGAATTCACCCCAGTTAAACGGCAAACTCCCCAGCTCTTGCCGCTTTGACAGCGGCCGATCGTAGCCCTCGCAATCCTTGTGACCCGGGGGAGTGTTCCTGTAGATGATAAGCTTATCCGGAAAATTATGCCGAATAAACCGCAGAGCGTTTTGTACGCCGGAAATGAAAAGAGGTGTAGGGGTCCAGTGGGGGCCCCTGTTTAAAACGATGACGTCTGCAGAGGGGATATTTGCCACACCAGGCTGGCCCCATGGCATGTGGTCAAATACAGCCCCCTTTGGATCGAACAGCGATAAGTGGTCATTGCGAACAAAGTCAACTTTAAAGCCCGGGCATACCGAGGAGTTGAAAGTGAACCTGAAAAAGAAGGGGAGTGGGTGAAAGAGGGTGTGGCGGGAAGTGAGGGAGCAATGGTTGAGCAAAGATGCAACTAAGTCAAACACCTTGTGCCACAGAAGGTGCTAACACCTTTGATTCACAAGCGCCAGCACTATCTGGTACTGCTTGGAGTCCCCCAGCAAGGGAAAGGCCTGGCAATAACTCACCACTGGTAGGACTTGCACGATTTGTTACAAGGTGACTCACCATTGACATAACTCGTGTCCCATTTTGGCGGTATTCCCTCCCAGCTCATCCACACACGAAGTTGGCCGCTCCTCCAAATCAACTAGTTCTTTCGCCGTTTTTTTCTTTCCCCTCCACCCCCACGCCATGTGGTTCACAAACACCTGCACCATCTGGTACTGCTTCGAGTCTCCCAGGAAGAGAATGCACCGGCCCCGCCCCACCCCCTCACGGACTGCTTGGAGTACCCCCAGAAAGAGGCAAAAACTCACCACTGACAAAACTCGTGCCCCATCTTGGCTGTGTTGCCTCCCAGCGCGTCCACACACGCCTTTGGCCGCTCCTCCAGAGTCACCAACTCTTGCGCCGCCTTCTTCTTTCCGTCCTTTCCCTTGTTCGATTCCCACGCCATGTGGTTCACAAACACCTGCACCATCTGATACTGCTTCGAGTCCCCCAGGAAGAGAATGCGCCGGCCCCGCCCCACCCGCTTGCAGAACACTGACGCGTTGAAGGGCAGCCAGGGGTTCGATAGGTCTGCTACTGCTGCTGCTGCTGCTGCTGCTGTTGCTGCCGCTGCTGCTGCTTCTGTCGCAGCTGCTGCTGCGGCTTTTGCTGCTTCTGCCTCCGCTGCTGCTCCTCCCGTTCCGTTTTTTTCCACCTGAGATCGCACAACCCTCTCCTTCTCCTGAGCCTCCTTGAGTCGTGCCTTGGCCGATCGCTCAAAGGCTTTAATCTCCTCGGGAACTTGAGGCCCCGGGCATGTGGAGGGCCTAACCACCCACTCGTACTTCACCCCCTCCCGCACCGTCCATCCCTCCTCACTCGCCCCTGGCGTCATAGCATATGCATCAGCAACGCTCGCATATGCCATGTGGGAGGAGTTTAAGCTTAAGTGTCGGTTGTCGCAGTAATTGCTCACGCCTCGGTAATCCCAAGGGAGGGTTCGGGGTTTTGGGTTGAGGACCCATTTTCCTTTCCGTGCAACACATGCTGCCCATTCCTTCCATTTTTTCACCTGCGCCTGCCCGTGGATCAAGGATCCGGGTATGGATGATTTCCCAAGGGCAGCTCGCCCTGCCCGGCTGCCTCTGGGCAGCGCTGGGCTGAAAAAAACCTCCGTGGAGAGGGCTTGTATGACTTGTGAGAGCGCAAGCCGGTCACATGAAAGCTTTTTGGACTGCCCGGAAACGTTGACAAGCTTGCAGAAGAGAGTGTGGTGGCGAAGGGAGAGGGAGTGAGAGAGAGCGCGGTGGGAGGAGGAGGGATGGGAGGAGGGTTGAATCTCGAGCACGACAGCAGCAGGCGGCATGAAGAGAATGAAGTCCAAAGCCTCCCCTGGTGGCGAGATGAGGAGCAGCGTGCGCGAGAAGAGAGCCCTGGCTGTTGGGACGGGAAGGAGGGTGGGGAATGGGGGAGGGAGGAGGAAGAGAGAGAAATCTATCAAGTCGAGAGCCTCCCCCGGTGGCGAGATGAGGAGGAGAGCACGAGAAAAGTGAGCCCTGGCTGTTGGGAGAGCCTTGGAGTTTTGTTAGACTCTCAGGTATTTTCCCTCTTCCCCTTTCACCCCTCGTGCTGATACAATGTTCTCCCCTCCTTCCACTGTTCCATTCACCTCACCTTCCACCACGCCCAAGCCTCCTCGAAAGACCACAAACCGACCATGCCTCTAGTTATCTTGGATCAAGCCATCCACCATCTCCTCCATCTAACCGTCTCACAATCCTCCCTTAAAACCCATCCCTCCCTGCTTACCTTCCTCTATGCCCATGCCTCCTCGGAAGGGCACCACCCGACCATGCCTCTAGTTATCTTGGATTATACCATCCCATACATTAAATACACCACCTTTCTCTATTCCCCCACCATTTTTTGTTGATACCACTTCCTTATCGCTCACATTCCTCCACGCCCATCCCTCCTCTCACCTCCTTTCTTTCCCATCCCTCCCCTCTCACCTTCGTCCACGCCCACGCCTCCTCGGAAATAGACCACCCGCCCATGCCACCAGTTATCTTGGATTATGCCATCCACCATCTCCTCCATCTTATCCAATAGCATCGCGCCAGGTGGCACCGCCGCCACCACCGCCCAGTCCTCCCCAACCATCCCCCTCACCCCCGCGAATTTATCCCCGTCGTCGTCACCATCCGCCCCTTCTCCAGCAGCCGCCACGTCAGCTGCCACGTCAGCCGCCACGTCAGCGGAGATGGGGCCGCCAGCTAGCGGGAGCGGGACAGGTGGCGGGCGGCGGAGCGTCCAGTTGGCATGGAAGAGGGGGAGGCCCGCGGGGGGGAGGAGGTGGTGTGAGCGCAGCGAGGAGAGGAGCGCGGGGGAGGGGCGGGTGCAGTGCTGAAAGCAGGGCTGGTGGGTGAGAGGGGGTGAATGGGTGCGGGAGAGAAGTGGGGGACGAGAGGGAGAGTGAGTATTTTTTGAAGAAAGGAGAGGAGCGAGCGGGAGGGGTGGGTGCAGTGCTGGAAGCAGGACTGATGGGAGGGTGAGGGGGGGAGAAGAGCAGGGGGGAGAGGGGGGAGACAGAGAGGGAGTGGGGATCAGAAACTGGGGGAGTGAAGGGGAAAGGGCGTTTGGAGTGGGAGTAAGTGGAGTTCCACTAAAAGAGAAGGGGGGAGAGTGAGGGAAAGGTGGGGGAGGGGGGGGGGAGGTGGGAAAGGGAGGAAGGTGGGGTGGAGTGGAGGGCAGGACGGATGGCATGGCTGAACGAGCAAAGCGGGAAGTGGGAGAAAAGTGGTGCGGTGGGGTTGGGGGAAGAGACGAGTGTCAGTGACAAGTGGCTGTGGTGGCACTGCCAACCAATCTGTGCTATTTGACTCCATGGCATCTAGACCAGGGAAGAAAAGAAAAGAAAAAAAAGCAAAAGCAAAAGCAAAGCAAAAAAAAAAAAAAAAAAAAAAAAAAACAAAAACAAAAACAACTGAATCACAGAAAACCGAGGTGATAGTAACCAGAAACGAATTGAACGGCACCTGAATGAGCCTCTGCACGAAAAGCAGGTGGGTGGGCTTGTCTGGTTGTGGCAGCTGAGTGACTTGATGTGGCGGGGCTCCAAGGTAGTGTGGTGCCATGACATGCAACCACTGAGAATGGAGGGATGGGAATATAGAAGGCAGATATCTGAGTGAAATAGGCCAAGGAGAGAGAGTGACTTGATGCAACAGGGCTTCCAGGTAGTGTGGTGCCATGACATGCAACCACTGAGAATGGAGGGATGGGAATATAGAAGGCAGATATCTGAGTGAAATAGGCCAAGGAGAGAGAGTGACTTGATGCAACAGGGCTTCCAGGTAGTGTGGTGCCATGACATGCAGCCACTGAGAATGGAGGGATGGGAATATAGAAGGCAGATATCTGAGTGAAATAGGCCAAGGAGAGAGAGTGACTTGATGCAACAGGGCTTCCAGGTAGTGTGGTGCCATGACATGCAGCCACTGAGAATGGAGGGATGGGAATATAGAAGGCAGATATCTGAGTGAAATAGGCCAAGGAGAGAGAGTGACTTGATGCAACAGGGCTTCCAGGTAGTGTGGTGCCATGACATGCAGCCACTGGTGGGGTGAAACGGAAGGGAAGGGAAGGACAAGGGACGGAAGGGAATGGCATGGCACGGCACCAGGAGACAAGCAGAGAGGGTGACTTGATGAGGCGGGGCTCCGAGATAGTGTGGTGTCATGACATGCAGCCACTGGTGGGGTGGAACGGAAGGCAGGGACGGGCACGGGATGGAACAGAATGGCACAGCACAGGAGACAAGGAAGGAGTGAGTCTCTGCACGAGGAGCACGTGGAGTGGCGAGCAAAAGGGGGATTTTGAGGTGCCTAAAAAACGGTGGAGAGAGAGGAGGGGAGTTGAGGAGGGGGGGGGGGAGTGGTGCGAGTGCAATGCACGAGAGGTGGATAAGTGAGGGGAGAGGGGGAGGAAAGGGGAGGGAGGCATGCTGGGGTCACCTTGCGATCTTGTATGAGTAATCGCGCGCCTTGGGCCATGAGGTTTGGGAGGAGAGGGGCGAGGGGGAGGAAGATAGGGAGGTGATGCACTAGGTGGTGGAAGAATGAGGCCCGTTGGGGAGAAGAGGAGGAGGAAGTGAGTGCGTTGGATTTGGAGGGAGGGGCGGCTAGGTTGATGGCGAGGGGATGAACGGAGACTGGTGTTGATGCCGGGTATGTGAAGGGCTGAGCTGGCATGCAGTCACAATCACATGCACACGAGCACATATGGGCAAGAGTGAATTGGGGGTGAGGAGGAGGAGTCGATGAGAGGAGGGGCGGCTAGGTTGATGGCTAGGGTATGAACGGTGACTGGTGTTGATGCCGGGTATGTGAAGGGCTGAGCTGGTATGGCATGCGATCAAATGCACGCAGAGTCATTCACGCATACATGCAAGCATGCGCATGCAATGTAATCATTCACATGCAATGCAATCAATTGCATGCAACGACAAATCCACATACTGTACAAGTGAAGGAAACAGCGGAAGGTGAAGGATGTGAATGTGTGTCATCAGGGACGAATAACGATATGAGGAAGAAAGCTGAAAAAACAAGACAAAATCCACATAATGTACAAGTGACAAAAAGAGCGGAAGGTGAAGGACGCGCATGTGTGCCATCAGGGACAAACAACGATATGGCAGAGGAAGATCAATAAAGAGAACAAAAACATGAAACCTACTAGATTCCAGGGCAGACGCAAATAAATTATCGAAACAACAGTAAGAGACAACTGGAAGTAATAAATGGAAGCCACCGTGAAACATGACCAAAGGAACAAATTCGATGAAACAGAAACACAGGAAACTTCCATTTCAGTAAGGAAGCCACAGTCCAGCACTCAACCCCACCTGACTGAGTCCCTTTCACCGCACTGGACCGCGTCTCACCTCACTGAGCGCCCTCCTCCTGCCGCACCCGCCCGGCCAGAAGATGTGAGAGGCGTTGAAGACTCGCCCCTTACCCAATGTACGATACTCCATCCCCCATTTACCTCGCCTCACCGCACTAAATCTCAGCTCGCCTCACCAAAACGCATCTTACCTCACAGAACTGCACCTCACCGCACTAAACCGCATCTCACCTCACTGAGCGCCCTTCTCCTGCCGCACCCGCCAGGCCAGAAGAGGTGAGAGGCGTTGAAGACCCGCCCCTGCCCGTCCACCCACACGCCCCTCAGCTCCACCACCCGCCCCGCCCACCCCCTCCCCCCCCCATACCACACCCCTTTCCCCACCCCCTCCCCCTTTTCCCCAACCACCACCTCCGCCTCCTCCTCCTCTTCCCCATCCCCTTCCCCATCTCCCTCCGTCCCCTCTCCCTCCTCCCCGGCTGCTTGCTTCCCATCCGCGTCTCCCTTTGATACCCATGCTTTTAGTCCGTTCTCTGGAGAGGCGATGGCAAGGGAGCAGTTGGGTAGTAGCACCATGCCTGGCGTGATTTGCTGTGAGCTGATTGGAGGGCATATCAACCGCACTGCACCGCTTGATGCTCCTGATCCCTGCTGACCCCGTTTACCGCCCTGCTGCCCTTCCCCTGTGTCCTTCTCCCCTTCCAACCGCCTCCTCGTTGGCGTTTCAGTCGCTGATGGTGTAGCAACAGCTGTTGCCGATGAGGCGGCATCAGCTAGGGACGCATCCTGGGGGTTTGATGGGATGCTGCTAGAGGCGCTTGCTGTTGATGGGGCAGGATTAGCTGCTGATGAGCTGGCATTATTTGCTACTGATGAGGCAGAATCTGGGGGAGTTGATAAACTACTGATAGCGGCAGCTGCTGACGTGTCACCAGCAGCACTCACACTGGCATTGGCTCCTGTGGCATTGTGGTGTGCCTCCATCAAAGTGGGACTGTCTTGTCTTTCTGCTCGATCGCTTTGGTCTAACACTTGAATTTTGCCGTTTTCAGTCACCTGCCCGTCCACGAATTCCGGGTTCCAGCACGCCTGTATCCCCTGCCCGCATTCCGAGAATTCAGGGCAAATCGCACCTTTACACCCTAAACTCGGAAATGCCACCTGCTCCCTCCGCTTCTTCCCTCCTTTGTCTTCCCCCTCGTGTCCGCTAATAACGTCTACTCCGGAAACTTCCGGGAAGAAACTCAGGCTGATAAGCGCCAGCTGGCTGCGTGTGATTGGCTGCTCGAGGCGCCGGACCTCCCGTGATCGATGGCGGGCCAACCCGCCGCGTCCTGCGGCGCCTAGCGGGGCGGACATGCCGTCTGCTGCCAGAGCCCGTCGCACGGATGTCGCATGGTCGTGCAGCACGGGCGACGGCGAACCACGGTTCCGCCATGGGTCTGATATATCCACTCTTTCTTCCACGTCCTCCCCAGCTGGTCGTGCGACTGAGATTGTCGCACAATGTCGCGAAGGCTGGGGAGGATACGTCGCAGGCGACGCGGCGAATGCGACGAGGTAAAAGGTGAATTGCAGGAGGAAAGCCGAGCGAAGGGTCGGGATGGAGTGTAATTTGCGTCGTCTAGGTATTCGGAAACGCGATTGATGGACAAGATTCGGAACAGCTGTTGATCGACGGCTAGATCGCCCGAACATGGCTTTCGAACGAACTCGTCAACGAGAGTGATAGACCTGCTGCACATACCAGACCGATCTAGATCCCTTCCTCATCACTTCGACTTCCAATGGTCAGAATCACAGCTGTCACCAATTCATGCGTTTCCGTAATAATTCCTTCTGATCCTGGATTATGATTAGGTAATGAGAAATTGCTCGTCAACCCAATGAACCTCAGGGGTGCGGCTGTAATCAGACATGAACCTAACCCAGACCCTATCACACAAATTCAGAACCTGTACTGAATTTGCTTGTCGAAAAGGTCCTCCCAAAACGACCTGAGGTTATGTTTTTATTCCGCACAAGATTTTTTTGAGAACATGAAATTCCACGAACCGTAGGCGTGGTGCCGCAATATGAATACGCCCCAAACAAGATAGAATTTATACCACACTAAACTACTCTCTATCCTTCCAGATCACACCAAAAACATATACAGCCTGTCGGATTTCCTAATCTAGTCATTGAACTTGACTCTAGTCTCCATTATGGAGGTAATGCAAAGCCTCGCTCCCAACTTGGCAATCATGCAAAGCCTTGTTTGCTCCATGCTATAGGAGATCATGCAAAGCCTTGTTTGCTCCATGCTTTTGGAGATCATGCAAAGCCTTCATTGAATATGTCGGTCGTATTTTCAGGCGAACCCGTTCCTGGCAGGTTGCTTCAGTGATCGAAGGTTTAAACGAGTTGGCTCACTCCACCTCCCTTCCACAGGCAAGCTAGCCAGAATTTTGAAGCCGTGCGTTTGTAAGTATTTCCGTTATGCGACGACCGTGTCGGTCCCCCAGCATGTGTGCAAACACAGTCTGAGATTTGAATGTGCGTGAAAATGCTTCCAGGAACAATCCGGAGCGAGTCATACTATCTTGCTTGTAGCACGCTCACAGAGTTGTCTCTTTGGCTGGTCTGTTATTCTTAGCAGAGACTCACTTCAGGCTTGTGTCACCCGGCAGAAGTCCTGAGAGATTGAGAGTTTCGTCCAATGAGTCGCCCCACCTGTACTGCATGTAATAATAGGGGCACATGCCAGAGGTGTGTAAAGGTTTCTTCAACAGGAAAGTTGAAGAGGAAAGTCGAGGAGTTGGAGGAAGCGAAGAAAAAATCAGAGGATCTAAAGTTGGTTGCAGAGAGGAAATTGGAAGTGTTGGAGGATGCAAAGAGTACCGCAACTTTTTTTGCAGGGAAGGTGAAAGGCATGCTCGACGCATCCTTTTGTGACATATCGTTGGGGACCATGATGGAAAAGTGATTCGTGCTCACCGTTGCATTCTAGCTGCATGGTTAGTTGACTATCTTTCTTCCTCTTATGTTTTGCCCTCCACAAAGCACTAATTTACAGGGTACGGTTCTAATATCTCCTATTCTCTTGGTGTATTCCTGTCATCTGTCCTTGCCTTTGCAGGTCTCCTGTCTTTTCAAGAATGTTCGAAACCGGATTCCAAGAAGAGAAGAGTAAATTTGTCAAGATAGAAGATATGGATAATCGTACTCTGGACCTCCTCCTCACTTTCATGTACACAGGAGTTGTGGACCTACCAGTTGAAATCTCCAAGGTAAGATGCCAAAAATAAAACTTTTCTGTCTTTGGCTGGCTTATCATGCTGCCCTTATTCCTGCTAATGGTTATGATTCAGGGGCTTCTTCTCCTAGCTGCCGCTGACAAATATGGAGTTCAGGAACTCAAGCAACGACTGGATAAGGGTCTGTGTGAATCAATAAATGACGACAACGCTTTTGAATGCTTCAAATTTTCGGATATGCACAGTGCGGCATTGCTAAGAGAGGCTTCTTCTAAGCACATATTGGAATGCATGGATGTTGAAGAAAGTTTGATTCCTCTGAAGGTGCGTACCCCTGAAGCAACCCCCCCAACTCATAATTTCCACTTACAGGTTGTTTACTGGTAATATGTATAAATATATGTATATTTCTTTGTGGTTTGTGCTATTTTGCAGTGTATGCTGCTCGGAGATAACAATGTGGACAGGAAACTGGCTGTAGAATTGGTAGAAATTCTGTGGCTCAAGTAGGCATGCTTCACTTCAGGAGATAATTCCTCTCCCCCGTCGCACCGCTGAGACACATTTGGGACCGAGTATGTTTGTGTGAAAAAATGGTCAAAGCACTTTCTGATCCATATGGAAGCTCTGTAGAAAATAATGAGTTCCACGTGGCATACATCGGATCGTCCATTGATGAAACGGGGCTCCCAGGTAGTGTGGTGCCATGACATGCAGCCACTGGATGGGTGGGGAATGGGGGACAGAAGAGAGAAGGCACAGAGGACAAGGAGCAAACAGGCCAGCCAGGGAGGGAGTGAGAGTTGATGAAACGGGGCTCCCAGGTAGTGTGGTGCCATGACGTGCAGCCACTGGTGGGGTGGAAGAGAAGGAAGACAAGGGAATGGTATGGCATGGGAGGCAAGAAAGCAGAGTGACTTGATGCGGGGGGGCTCCCAGGTAGTGTGGTGCCATGACGTGCAGCCACTGGTGGGGTGGAAGAGAATGAAGACAAGGGAATGGCATGGCATGGGAGGCAAGAAAGCAGAGTGACTTGACGCAGGGGGGCTCCCAGGTAGTGTGGTGCCATGACGTGCAGCCACTGGCGGGGTGGACGGGAAGGGACGAACACAATTGCAGGTTTGTGAAGAGATTAAGAGGCCTGGTCGAGAGGACTTGACGCAACGGGGCTCCCAGGTAGTGAGGTGTCATGACGTGTGGCCACTGGTAGGGCGGGCGAATAGGCAAGGACAGACAACGCACGGAACGGAATAGAATGGCTCAGCACAGGGAAGCAAGGAGGGAATGGGACTTGATGATGCGGGGTTCCAATCTAGTGCAGGCGCCAAGGATCAGGAAAACTTCAAGATTTGAGGCGCAATTTGCAACAGGAATCAGTTGAGGGAGGGGGGAATGAGGCGGAGGAAGAGAGGGAGGTGACGCACTAGGTGGTGGGAGTAAGAGGTATGGGGGGGAGAGAAGAGGAGGAGAGCGAAGGAGATAGGAGGAGGAGAGATCAGAGGAGGAGAGGATACGGGAGGAATGTTGGTCTCACCTTGCGATCTTGCACGAGAAATCGAGCCCCTTGGGCCATGAGGCTTGGACGAAGAGGGGCGAGTGGGAGGGGAAGAGGGGGGAGGTGGGAGATGGGTTGAGCCCAAGAAGAGCTGGTCTCACCTTGCGGTCTCACCTTGCAATCTTGCACAAGAAATCGAGCCCCTTGGGCCATGAGGCTTGGACGAAGAGGGGCGAGTGGGAGGGGAAGAGGGGGGAGGTGGGAGATGGGTTGAGCCCAAGAAGAGCTGGTCTCACCTTGCGGTCTCACCTTGCAATCTTGCACAAGAAATCGAGCCCCTTGGGCCATGAGGCTTGGGAGGAGAGGGGCGAGTGGGGAGGAAAAGGAAGTTGAGGGGAGGAGTCGAGGGGTCAAGATGTGGGGAGAGATGGGAGGGGGGTTGTGATGGCTCACCTTGCGATCTTGTACGAGTAATCGAGCCCCATTGGCCATGAGTTGAGGGAGGAGAGGAGCGAGTGGGAGGAAGAGAGGGAGGTGATGCACGAGGTGGTGGAAGAAGGAGGCTCGGGAGGGAGAGGAGGAGGAGGAGTAAGAGGAGTAAGAGGAGGAGGAGGGGGAGGAGTAAGAGGAGGAGGAGGGGCAGGTGAGTGTGTTGGATCTGGAGGGAGGTTGATGGCGAGGGGATGGACAGTGACTGGTGTTGATGCTGGGTATGTGAAGGGCTGAGCTGGCATGCAATCACACATGCACAACCGCATGCATTCAACCATGTAATCACATTCACGCAGTCATTCACACATACATGCAATCATTCTCATGCAAAGGCGGATCCACATAATGTACAAGTGAAGAAAGGAACGAAAGGTGAGGGAGGGAGATGTGAATGCGGGCCGTCAGGGAAAAATAAAGGTGACGAACCAAGCACAACGAAGAAAGAAAAAGAAAAACAGAAGTAAAAGGTTAGATACATGCATGTAGGCAGGCCAAATCCATGTCTATGATTGCATCAGAGCAATACAAGGAACCACTTTGAAAGGGAATATCACAGAACTGCAGTTCACACCGCATTAAACCGCACCTCACCTCACTAAACCACATTCACCACACTGAACCGCATCTCACCTCACTAAGCACCCTCCTGCTGCACCCGCCCGGCCAGAAGAGGTGAGAAACGTTGAAGACCCGCCCCTGCCCCAATGCACAACACCCTGTCTCCCAATTACCTCGTCTCATCACACTAAACCGAACCTCACCACACTAAAACTCATCTAACCTCACTACCGCATCACACCGCACTCAACCACGTCTCACCGCACTGAGAGCCCTCCTCCTGCCGCATCCCCCAGGCGAGAAGATGTGAGAGGCGCTGAAGATCCGCCCCTGCCCCAATGCACGAAATGCTTTCTGCCACCCACATCGTCTCACCACACTGCACCACTTCTCACCACACCAGAACGCATCGTACCTCACTCAACCGCATCTCACCGCACTGAATCGCATCTCACCTCACTGAGCACCCTCCTCCTGCTGCACCCGCCCGACCAGAAGATGTGAGAGGCGTTGAAGACCCGCACCTGCCCCAATGGACGATGCCCCATCTCCCATTTACCTCGTCTGACCGCACTCAACCGTACTGAACCGCATCTCACCTCACTAAGAGCCTTCCTCCTGCCGCACCCGCCCGGCCAGAAGAGGTGAGAGGCGTTGAAGACCCGCCCCTGCCCGTCCACCCACACGCCCCTCAACTCCTGCATGCCTCGTCTCACCTCACTGAGCGCCCGCCTCCTGCCACACCCGCCAGGCCAGAAGAGGTGGGAGGCGTTGAAGACCCGCCCCTGCCCGTCCACCCACACGCCCCTCAGCTCCACCACCCGCCCCGCCCACCCCCTCCCCCCCCCATACCGCACCCCTTTCCCCACCCCCTCCCCCTTTTCCTCCCTTCCCTCTTTCCCTCTCACTTCCTGTACTTCCTCCTCCTCTTCCCCATCCTCTTCCCCCTCTCCCTCGTTCCCCGCCCCTTGCTTCCCATCCGCCTCTCCTTTTATTACCCATGCCTTCAGCCCGTCCTCTGGAGAGGAAATGGCAAGGGAGCAGTTGGGCAGCAGCACCATGCCTGGCAATATTTGCTGTGAGCTGATGGGAGGGCATTTCAACCGCACTGCACCACTTGATACACCCCTGGATGCTCCATTCGATGCTACCGACCCCTGCCGCCCGCTTTCTAACAACTGCCGCCCTCTTTCGCTTGTCTGCCGCCCTTTGTCTGGCACCTGCTGGCTGTCCCATATGTGCTGCCCCCCCACCAACCGCCTTCTCGTCGACACTTCTGGCGGCGATGTGGAAACATTAGCTGCTGCTGATGGGATAGCACTAGCTGTCGCCAGTGGGGTGGCCTTATCAGAAGAATCATCCTGGGTTGATTGGCTGCGGCTAGTGGCATTTGCAACTGATGAGATAGCATGGGCTGCTGTTGCTGCAGAGGTAGGATTAGCTGCACCTGCATCCTGTAAAGCTGAAGGGCTGCTGCTGCTAGTGGCCATGGCTGATGTGTCATGAACAACACTCACATTGGCTTTGCCTGCTGTTGCATTCAAAAGTGGCTCTGTAACAGAGGGACTGCCTCAAATTTCTGTCGGATCGCCTCTGTCCAAAGCTCTGTTTTCCCCGTTATCATTCACTTGCCCGTCCACGAATTCTGGGTTCCAGCATGCCTGTATCCCCTGCCCGCATTCCGAAAATTCTGGGCAAATCGCACCTTTGCACCCCAAATTCGGCAACGGCACCTGCTCCCTCCGCTTCTTCCCTCCCTTGTCGCCCTCGTCGCCGCTAATAACGTCTACTCCGGAAACTTCCGGGAAGAAACTCAGACTGATAAGCGCCAGCTGGCTGCGTGTGATTGGCTGCTCGAGGCGCCGGACCTCCCGCGACCTATGGCGGCCCAATCCTGCGGCGCCTAATGCGGCGGGCATGCTATCTGCGCTGCTCTGCGAATCGCCAGGGTCGCCTGCTGCCAGAGCTCGTCGCACGGATGTCGCATGGTCGTGCAGCATGGGCGACGGCGAACCACGGTTCCGCCATGGGTCTGATATATCCTCTCTCCCTTCCCTGTCGTTCCCATCTGGTCGTGCGACTGAAGTTGTCGCACCATGTCGCGAGGGCTGGGGAGAAAACGTCGCAGGCGACGCAGCGAATGCGACGAGGGGAAAGGTGAGTTGGAGGAGGAAAGCGGAGCGAAGAAGCAGGATGGCGTGGGATTTACGAAGCGTAGGCATTCGGAAACGCGATAGATGGTCACAAATGTGGAGCGGTGGTTGATTGATGATGGCTGGATGTGTAACAGCACCTGAGAACAACTGAGTTCCAATAGCGGTGATCTATGTGTGAAATAATTGGAGACCGTTTCTGAAAGGGCGTGCGTGCATTTGCAAGTTTCCCTCTCTGTGTCACGTTCCTGTAACTTTCACAAGAAGAGCGGTGTCTCCAAACGACATGAGGATGAACTTTCGGACAGAATTTTTAAAAACTGTTCATTTCACAGCTGCCAGGATGATGCTCTTGCATCGTAAATACGCCCGTACACTGTTAAAAATCTAATCCTCGATTTCCAAGCAGCCCTGGAAATTTACCGTATTTGACCACTTTTTAACCCACTATTAACCATCAAACCGTCTTTAACCGATATAAGTCTTCCAACCTGAGGGCGCGTCACCTCGGACGTTCGAATAGGCCTGTTCGAACGTGCACCGTACTTAACCAGACTGACTGTTTTCCAAAAAGTACTGTACCGAACTCAAACCCCAGAATTCGGACGTTCGAACTGCTGGTTACCACCAGAGGTGACGCGCCCTGAGCCTTGGGATTGCATATTGTGTGATTTTCACACTCCTGCCTCGTTGCTCATATCATGAGCAGAGCACTCCTCTCTTCATCTTCAGTAATCCTTTTGGAGTCAGGCAAAGCTTTCCGTGCGTTTTTTACATCACCGAGCCCGTTCTAGGCAGGTACGATTTCCAGC